AGTCGCTGTCCACAAGGGGGAGTGGTCCTTGTGCCCCTGGTCACAGGTCACTGTGTATCTTTTACTTCTGAACAAAACCATTTTGAGGTAAGCGTATCCCACTTGGGTAATTAGCATAATCTTAGTTAGGCATGCACATTCGCTTGTAACCAGCGTAATCTTAGAATTACAACAGGCGGCACACTCTGAGTGTCATTTTCCCCCTTTTCTTTAATTTTTTTTTTTTAAGATTTTATCTATTAGGGTCACGTGGGTGGCATAGTCGGTCAAGTGTCTGGCTTCAGCTCAGGTCCTGGGATGGGGCTCCCTGCGTGGTGGGGAGTCTGCTTCTCCCTTTCTCCCCACCTCCTGTGCTCTCTCCCGCTCTGTCTCTCTCAAATAAGTAAAATCTTTTATTTGATAGAGAGAGAGAGAGCACACAAGCAGGGGGAGCAGCAGAGGGAGAGGGAGAAGCAGGTCCCCACTGAGCAGGGCGCTGGATGTGGGGCTCAGTCCCAGGACCCCGAGACCGTGACCTGAGCGGAAGGCAGACACTTCACTGACGGAGTTCCCCAGGTGCCCCAGTATTTTGGTTTTTATTTAATAGAAACTTGAGAACCAAAACGACAAACATATAGGTAAAGATATAGAAAATGACTTAAGGCTGTCAACGAATGAATTGGGCACATAGTTTTTAGAAAACAAAATGAGGGAGGGAGAGAGAAATCGGTGGGTGGAACATAGCAGAGAGCCTAGAAACAGGCCCGCGGAGCTTCGACAGAGGTGCGAAGACCCACCAGCGGGGGAAGGGCAGCCTTTTAACTCATGGAGTCAGGACACTGGGGCACCTGCAGGCAGAATGAGAGGAAGGAGCCTGGGGTCACATCGCCCCGGAACAAAAATTAATTTCCAGTGGAGCACAGATTTCAGTGTAAAGCCGAGACCTGCAGAGGAAGCTGTAGGGGAAACTCTTTGAGACCCAGGACCTGGCTCGGACCTCTTAGACGTGGTATGAAAGCAGCGTCCGTGAGGACAGTGAGGAGTTGGACGTGGTGAAATGATGAGCTTAGGCTCCTCGAGGAGGGGAGATGCGGGACGTACCTTGCGGCCCAGCAGTCCTATTCCTGGGCACTTGGCCTGGAGAAGTGAGAGCGTGTGTCCACAAGCGCCACGCGAATGTCTGTGGCAGCCTTGTTTGTAGTGACCCAAACCAGCCGGTCTCCCGCTGCCCAGGTGGGGGTACAGGGTAGAGGGCAGGCTGCCCACGAGTGACGCCCTGTGCTGCGGGAATGTCCTCAGCCGCCCCGAGGGAACCGACCTCGGCGGTTCCGCCGGGCCCAGAAAGCCAGTCTCAAAGGCCGGTGTGTGTCTTGTGTTGCCAAGTGTGAGAACCACACAGGTGGAGAGCAGGTGAACGGTTGCTGGGGGCAGGGATGAGGCTGGGAGGGCAGACATGTCTCAAGGGGCACCGTCAGCCCAGGAGCACGGGTGTGCGTGTGGGGTCGGTCCTCCCAGAACCACACACGCAGACACACGCGCACGTGTAGCCAGGAAGTCTGAGGAAGGACTGGAGGCTCGTTCCCAGAAGTGTTCCCAGAAGTGTTCCAGGGTGAGTTTCAGGCTTTCCCTACTGTACTGAGCTACATGCTTTATAGGGTGTCACCACGGGGGCACGGGACTCTGGGTACTTTTACCACCTCTAATTATTTCAAAGCAGAACCAGTAGGCGATGCCATCGTGTGTGTGGCTGAGAGAGGAGGTGTGATTGAGCGAGAGAGGGACTGTACAGCTGTAAGGGTTTGTGCTGGCGTTGGCCAACACACTTGTGGGGGCAGCCAAGCTCATTGGACATCTAGAGCAGGTCGGCAGGAGGGGGAAGTCAGGATCACCTGGCGGGGGCCGCTTGGCGTCTCCAAGACAGGAAAGAAGGCCTCGACCCCTCACCTGATCTGGCCAGGCCCACCCGGTATCATCTCTCTTTGGTTAATTTGGAGTCAGCCAGTGAGGACTTTTAATCACACCTGCAGAATTGCTTCATAGCACATGCAGGTCAGTGTGATTGAATAATTGGGGAGTGTAGTTCAGCCCAGGCAGGACATGCACATTATGGTGGCAATTTTCCATATCAACCCTTCGGCGACAGTTTCATTCTTACTAGTGTGATATAGATGTTCCTTAATTTTTGAAAAATGAGATATTCTTTTGTATAGCTTGAGGCTGATAAACTGCATTGCGTTAGTTGAAAGTGTTGTAACACTGACTCATTTGCTTTCTCCGATGTTTGCATTATAATCTAATACCATCGTCTGTTTAAAAACACCCCACGAATGCACTTTCCCCAGTTGAATTTCACTGTATTCCTTTGCTTTTTTTTTTTTTCAAAGATTTTATTTATTTGACAGACAGAGATCACAAGCAGGCAGAGAGGCAGGCAGAGAGAGAGAGGAGGAAGCAGGCTCCCTGCTGAGCAGAGAGCCCCATGCGGGGCTCGATCCCAGGACCCTGAAACCATGACCTGAGCCGAAGGCAGAGGCTTTAATCCACTGAGCCACCCAGGCGCCCCATTCCTTTGCTTTTTTGAAAGTTCGTTCCCATCTCCTCCTCTCCCTGGAGTTTGCTGGGTCCATCGGCCGACGTACTTCTGTGCAGCAGGGGCAGAGAGCGGCTGAAGCTGAAGAAAGTGTTTCTCGTAGCCGTGAGGCCGCAGGTGTTGAAAGCTGTTTCGGACGATCTCCTGACAGCGCTTGTACCCGGTCGAACACAACCACGTCCATGTGTTAGCCTAGACCGAACTCGTAATGGTCCAGGATTCCGACTGCGTCCCTGAGATGAACGGGGCTTTTGTGTTGACTAATCCTCGAATCCGTGCATGAGTATGACTTATCGCTTAAAGGGAGACGAGGGTCAGCCCTGGTCCTACTTCCAGTGCTAGTTTTCAAAGTTTCAAGTGCTGAGAAGCTTCGTTCTGGGAGGAGAGACGCCTCTCAGCTCCTCGGGCCGTGTCTAAGGGCCTTGTACGCTGTCGTTGGGGATGACTTTTGATGATCTCTGGGCTCAAGAAGTACCTAGTTCGTCTGTCAGGTTTGCCAAAAGCCGAGAGCAGGACGCTGGTGTCGTGCCGGGGCCGCCGTGGCGGTCGGCAGCGGATCGGCTTTCTCACACCCAGCCTGGTGCCTCCCCGGGGCCCCGCGTTCCGCTGGGGGGCTGACCCCCCGAATGGACGGCGCGCGTCTGTGTAGCTGCAGGGACGGCTCCTTTCCCTTTACGGTGGGAAAGGGGCTTTGTGAGAGAGAACGGACACGTTGCCCGTGGTGCGCGCTCGAAGCGAAACGGTTTTAGAAAGAGTTCGTTCTGCAAGGCGAGGAAGTGGACGTGGCGTTGCTGAGAGCGGCCCCCGTCCAGGAGCCCTGGGACGTCGTGGGCGCCCCTTCGGGCTACTTGTTCACCTTGACGCTGGCTGCTTCCGGACATTGCTTCCTTGCCCTCGACAAGAGCTGTTAGGGAGGAAAGGTCTGTTTGTCCAACAGTGTTGCCAGTTGGTGCCACGAGTACATTTTAATCTGTTGCCTTCCAGACCTCGAGAGCTTTCGTGTCCTGCTGCCCATGGTGAGTTCCCTTTAGCGCACTGCTAGCCCGCAGAGCCGTCCTAGTGAGCAGCTTGTGGGAGGAGACGGCTGGGGAGGCCTGTGTGTAGGATCCCGCAGGAGAGCGGGGCTCCATGGAATTTGCTGCAGGGAAATAGCAAATGCCCAAGAACCAGGAATCTCCTGTCTCGACATAGGAGACTCGTAAATCTGGAAAGCCCACTGTACCCGTGCTACCGAGTCGAGGGTCACGGCCCGGGTTACTGTGATGCCTGCCCTGTGGCCGGGCTATAAGGATTGGCTTCCTTGAGGTCCTTGTCTGAGGACAAGTAGAATCGCCGAAAAATAATAATATAAAATAAATATATAAAATAAAATAAAAAAAATAATAATTGTGAATGAAATGCCGTTGATTCAGTTTTTATCTTAGAAAAACACCTCATGGTCCTGTGGTTTCCACGGGCATGAAACGCCGCTGTCTGTGCCCCTGATTTGGGGAGAGGGGGTTTAACAGCCGTGTGGCTGTGACCCTGGGTTGCATTTTCATACATGCTTTGGGTTACGTGAAACTTCTCATGTGAAAGCATCGTCGCCCCCCGAGCGGTAAAATTTCAGAATGACCTCTTCCCCCGTGGTGCTGCTGTGCGTTTCCAGTGCGGCCCTGCCCCCTCCCCGCAAAGCACGGCCCGGCTTCCTGGGACCACAGCTCCAGTCGCCGGACGCTCCGTGACCCAGTGGTCCGGGAGTCCGCGTGGTGAGATGCACTTCCGGCTGCCGCTTGTTGAAACTCACAGGCCGCCTCCCAGAGGGTGTCCGGGCAGGGTGCCGCTCCTCGGAGGGGACTAGGGACTCTCTTCTGTTGTCTAACCCTTTTCCTTTGGGGGGAAGAGCCCAGGCTCTATGTTGCAGTTCCCACACTCCCCTGGTAGCAGCCGGAGGGGACACTGTTGCGTGGTTTTGCCCCTTTCCTAGCAGACCTAACCCTGGGGTGGTGTTGGCAAGCGTCGTGCTGCGGAAAGCCTCGATTTGTCATGGAGGAAATCTCTGGGACGCACTGAGTATGGATAGCAAGCTGTGTTTATGCCGACACAGTCCTTCAGAGACCTTAACTGCCCAACACCCCGTGAGCTCTCGCTCCTTTCTGTGTCAATATTCCTACTCGACTCCACTGAGAACACCGGCCGTGAGGGAAGGTAAACTCTCTCCTCAAAAGAAAAAATGTAAAAAACAAAAAGAAAAAGGGAAACACCTCTGGTTTATTCTTTGTCCAGTGTGGACCGTCCCTTACCTTGACCCGTGACTTCCTCTTGGGACCACCTCCCCGCCCTTAGTGCAGGTCATGGGGAGCCGACTGTATTGAATGACTCTTATGTACGCTGAAAATGAATGTTGTTGTTTTAAGGTCTTCTTTTTCTTTGTGATTCTTTTGTTCCCTAGCGTCGTCCCCCAGACTACAGTAATACTCAACAATGATCGGCAGAACGCCATTGTAGCCAAGATGGACGACCCCTTGAGCGGCAGGGCGCCGGATTCCCTGGAAAATGTCATTAGCAAGTCAGTAGCCACAACACCAGCCCCACCTTTCACTGCCACTGCCACCGAGATGAGTCCCCTGGAGAACCAGCCAACGTTCCGAGCCGGGCACAGCCGGCCGCAGTTCTCCGTGGTAGGGGAGGGCCGAGCCGTGCTGCGGGCCCGCGTCCTGACGTGCTAGCTGGAGGAGCGGACGCGTCCAGGGGAGAGGCACTTGGAGCTGCCATGTCCAGTGCTCTCGTGCTGTAGGGGAGCTGGCTGGATGTTTCCACAGCAGCCGCTAGAGCTTGTGTCCCCTCCCTGACCGCCCTGCACTCACGTCTGTCTGTCTGTCTGTCTCTGTAGCAGCATGTCAGGTCAACAGACAGCCTTTTGTCAAGTTTGCTGAGTGAGGAAGGCATGGCCAAGGGATGTTTCTCTTTGGAGACCCGGTGGATATAACCTTGGTCAGAGATAGGAGAGCTTGATGGCAGCGTGTGATGGTGAGGTCACTGTGGGCGGCCTTGCCTGGCGGTCTGGGCTCTGCTTTTCCTGGGAACGTGCCCGAGAGGCCTCTTTGGCCTGTGGTTTCCATCAGTGTGTCCACAGAGTTCTGTTTGGCCTTTGCTCTCCATCCTCCCCCAGCTGTGTCCTGCTTCCTTATTGTCCTAGCCTGGTCTCGAGGGGCCCCGCCGGGCCGTGGCCTGCTGTGTCGGGTGGGAAAGGCCATCCAAGGAGACCCGGCCAGTGGAGGCGAGGCAGGGTCAGGCGGGCCTCCAGGGGGCTTGGCTGGAGGTCAGCTGTCAGACTCAGAGCATTCAGGAGCAAGGTCAGTTTGGGCAGGCTGCGGTGGCGTCGGGTTCCGAAGGTGTAGCCCCCTCCCCGCGGCTTGGCCAGGGTTGGAAGCGTGTTTTGTCTCTGTAAACAGGGAAAGTGCGTTTCCTCCCCTTTCTCCCTGCCTGCCAGGCCCGGTGAAGGGAAGTTGAGAAGGTCCTGGAAGTCCCAGGGAGCATGTCCCCAGGTAATAGTACATAGAGATGTTTCGAGCCCTTCTCGGAGCTGGTGGCTTGTGTCTCGTTTTTCGGGCAGGAGCTCATTGCTCCGTGTCAGGATCCCTTAGGGTGGTGAGAGGATCCCCCAGGACGTTCTTGGCTGGTTTTTTAGACTCACGTGAGTGGTTTTTGTCGGCGGGAAGAGGCGGGAGTGGTCGCTGCCCTTAGCAAAGCCCAGTTGCTTCCAGAAGGTGTAACAGTGCAGAGTGCATTGGGTCAGTGGGAGTCTCCAGGCTCACTTCCTCCTAATCCGGTCTGTCTTTGACATTGTCTCCAAAGTTACGCACGTGTCTGATTTGCGGGGTCACCTCTGTGATCAGAGAGCTGCAGTCTGGGCCTGGAGTGACAGTGGGTTGTGATTTTCCTTCTTTTGCGATATAAACATGTTTGCACGCTTTTAAATTTCATACGGTTTCTTCCAACCCCAGACTATTTTGTGCTGTTGAGTTGCTGTCCGTCTCAGTAGGGAGAGCTGGATGGGAGGCCTCCTGAGCGGCTGCCCCGTGCGCGGTTAGAGTCTCTGATAAACAGAGGACAGAAGAACATGGCAGTGCCTGAGCGCTTGTGTCTGCCTGTGGGTCGTGGCGCTCTCACAACATTGGCTGGTGTTTTTGTCTCCCGCTCAGCGCGGTGCCCGGGCGACGGCAGAACACCATTGTGGTGAAGGTGCCGGGTCAAGAGGACAGCCACAACGAGGACGGGGAGAGCGGGTCCGAGGCCAGCGACTCCATTTCCAACTGTGGACAGTCAGGAAGTCAGAACATTGGCAACAACGTCACCCTCATCACCCTGAACTCGGAAGGTGCGCCTGCAAAGCTTCTTTCTTTTCCCTGAACGGCAGTAGGTACCGTTTTGTGTTGTGTCTTGTTTTTCTGCTTCTTAGGAAAGCGAGATGGGCCTCTGCCTCCCGAAGGTTCAGCATCACGGTTTGCCAACTTTGTCAACACGGTTTGGAGTTGCCAAACTGACCCACGCGCTCGGTCGAGACGTAGTTCGCATTTTGCATCTGGGTCTCTTCCCCGGGCTGGTGGTGCGGGGCAGGGCTCCCCGTTCCCCGACGATCGTGCGGTCAGCAGCCGCCCGCCACCACCACGGAGCACCCAGACACGGCCGTCCTCGTGGTCGCTTTTAGCGCAGGCTTCAGACGTTCCCCGAGCTGTCGCCCACGGTATTGTGTGTGTCACATGATTTTGTCCCCCCCGGAGGCTAATGTGGATGTTCTGAGCACGTCTAGGCTGGGCCGGGCTCGTGTGTGATGCTCGGTGGGTTAGGGGCATGACGTGAGTTTTCGACCTCGCATTTCCCAAGTTCTGATAGGTTTCTCGGGACATCGCCCCCGCTCAGTGGGGAAGATGTGCAGACGTTTACTGTCTTCCGGGAGAGAAGAGAGTGAGAACAGTGTGAATTTCATGTCTAGAGGTCGCTGCCAGTCCTGCTTGCTTTTCTTGTGGGAACATGCGCACTGTGTGATTTGGGGGCTCTCCTCCTCCCCTGCAGCGCGGGGGCCTTCCACGGCGTGCAGATCAGTCGGGCTCTGCAGACTCTCTGATGACAGGCTCTTGTGCTTTTTGTAGCCGGCAGCTGGTCACTGCCTTAGACCAGGGCTCTGTCCGCGTCTCTGCCAAGAGCCAGACATAGGTGCTTGGGGGAGGTCGTGTTCCTCCTCCCCCTCCTGCCCCGAGGGGCAGAGCGGCTCCTGGACGTGAGCCTGTTTCACCCACACCCGGCTTCCTGTCCCCCTGCGTCTCCTGCCGAGGTCGGACGCCTGCCCGCGCCTGGCCCGCTCTGCGCAGCCGGCCTCTCGTGCCTCGCAGCGGATCTCTGCTGCCTGGCGCGTCTGTCCTGCCTTTTTGGGCCAACTTAGGCTTCCCACAGAGCTCTTTACAGCAGGGCGGGTGGGGGACAGATGTGTTTGGTGCTGTGCTGCTGCCTTTGAAAGCCTGGGTTTCATTTTCTAGTGTACTTGGGAGGTTTTCTGGTTTTAGGTCCGAGTTGTTGATTTTTACTTCCAGGAGCTATGTAAGTTCCTTAAGACAATGATGCAGACGTACTGAGCAGAGGTTTTCCTGTTACACTGGTTACCATAGCTGAAACCATGAAAACAGTATTTTTCTCCAAGTTTTGGTCACGTCTGACATAAATTGCTAGGATGGGGACGGTAGGGCAGGAGCGGGGAGAGAATGAGAGCTTAGGGACAGCCTTTCTGTACATCTGAGATCTAATTTAAATTCTGTAAGGTCGACCATCGTAACGCATACCATTCAGTGGTGTTCTGTATGTTTGCCTAGTGTGCAGCCATCATCCAGTCTGATTCTAGAACATTCTGTCACCCTAGAAAGGAGCCCCGCCACAGTCCCTGCCTGTTGTCCCTGGGAGCCACCCACTTCCCACGCGGGGTGGGGGTGGGGGCGGTGGAGGGGGTCGGGGGCGGAGAGAGCGCCAGCCCTTCACCCCGTCCGTGGCCGGCTCGTGCTCCGTTGTGTGGATGGACCATGGTCATCTGTTGGCGGACTCTGGGGGCGCTTCCAGTTTCTAACTGTGATGACCGCGCCTGCCCAGGGGTTGGCCAGAGCGTGTGTTTTCGTTTCTCTTGGTAGGCACCTGGGAGTGGATTCGCCTCGTTGTTTGGCACCTTAGATTGGAGGACGAGAGGGATCCCCCGATCTCAGCTGTGGGTATTAACCTCCGTGGTGCAGAGGGCGCTGGCAGCAGCCGCAGGCTCTGTCTGTCCACGGGGACTCCGGGTCACTGTCCGCGGGGACTCCGGGTCACTACCCGCCACTCGAGGCCCGACGTTCGCTTGGTTTCAGCTGCATTTGCTGAGGCGCTTGGTGCTTGGTAATTCTGGAAGTTTCTCAGGTTATCTTAAAAAGAGAATGTTTTACCTTTTTAAGTATCTTATTTTGATGTGGTTAATGTGAAAAATACTTCATTTGGGGAAACTACAGCATGCTGCTAAACGAACACAGAGAAATGTTCAAACTCTGAGCTTAGTGACATCTCGGAGAAAAAGTACAGATCTTCTTTGTATCTAAGTCTGAGTTCTTGACAAGCTGAAGCGTTTGCGGGAACCACGACCTGCCATCCAGGGGGTTGTGTCCACTGGACATGTCTGAGGGACAGGACCTGTTGTTAGGATTGGGGCAAACGAGGGGAGCCTGGGTGGCTCCGGTCCCCGTCTGCGGGTGCTGGGATTGAGCCCCGTGCCGGACTTCCTGCCCCGTGTGGAGCCTGCTTCTCCCTTGGCCCCTGCTCATGTGTGCGTGTGCTCTCTCTTTCTCAAATAAATAAATACAATGTTACAAAACAAACAAAAAAAGGATTGAGGCAAACTAGAGGAATTTTTCTGATATTCGAAGAAGCGATCCTAATCCAGGATTCCGCTTGACTGTGGCATCAGGAGCAAGCTCGCTGGGATGTGTGCCTTCTGCGACCTCTGCCCTGGGAATGTCTCCCCCGCAGTCGGACGTCTGGGAGGAGGCCCCGCTGCGCTGCCCCAGCTGGAACCGTGGTCGGTGCCCGAGGGCCTGGAGGCTGCCACGCGCGCACGTGCTGCGGAACGGGCCCACCGTTAGTGCCCGTCAGAGTCGCCTTCGGCCTGTAGTGGCATCGTGTGTGAAAACCTTCTCGGAGATGCGTGAGCGCTGTCCCTCCCACGTCCTCCCCAAGACCAGCTCAGCTGGCCCAGCCGGAGAGGGTCGGGCCAGCTAGTTTCTATTAAGCTCTGGTAACATGCAGAGCTCTGCAGGGCCCTGGGCTCGGCGTTGCATGGTGTCCTCGAGTTCCTGATCAGCAGCCCAGAGCTGCACAGGGACACGCCGCTCTTAGAAAATTATCGAAGTGTCTGCAGTTGTAAAAACCACAGGTTCCAAAATGGTTATTTCTTAAGAATTCCAAATGGTTTGCATGAACTGATGTGGTGTTTTATATCAGTGTGGAGTCCATTACTTACGGCAAGGCACTGTGTCTGTGTTTTGTATTTATTGTATTTCATTTTTTTAAGAGCGAGCGAGTGAGCATGTGGGTGGGGAGGGGAGGGCAGATGGAGAGAGGATCTCACGTGACCTCCCTGCTGAGCTTGGAGCCCAGCGCAGGGCTCCATCCCGACATCGTGACCTGAACTGAGATCAAGAATCAGGTGCTTCACTGACTGTACCCCCAGGTGCGTCCTGAAAACATTTCTTGAGAATTTATTTTCATAAACTTTTTTTTTTGAAGTAGGCTTCATGCCCAGCGCAGAGCCCAGCATGGGGCTTGAACTCGTGACCCTGAGATTGAGACGAGAGCTGAGACGAAGCGTCACAGGCTTAACCCGCTGGCCACCCAGACGCCCCTATGTGAACTTATTTTTTTTAACATAAATTCTTTATTTTTATTTTTATTTCTTTTTAAGATTTCTCATTTATTTGAGAGAGAGAGGGAGAGAGTGCGCGCGCATGCACTCACATAAGCAGAGACACAGAGGGAGAAGTAGGCTTCTGTGGAGCAGGGAGCCTCACGTGGGACTCGACCCCAGGATCCTGAGCGAAGGCAGATGCTTTACTGTCTGAGCCACCCAGGCACCCCTGACATAAATTCTTTATGTTGCCATAACATTAAAAACTTTTTTTTTAAAACATTTTATTTATTTGACAGACGGAGATCACAAGTAGGCAGAGAGGCAGGCAGGGTGGGGGGGAAGCAGGCTCCCGGCCAAGCAGGGAGCCTGATGTGGGGCTCGATCCTAGGACCCTGGGATCATGACCTGAGCCGAAGGCAGAGGCTTTTTTTTTTTTTTTTTTAAAGATTTAATTTATTTATTTGACAGAGATCACAAGTAGGCAGAGAGACAGGCGGAGAGAGAGGGGGAAGCAGGATTTTTGCCGAGCAGAGAGCCCGATGCAGGGCTCGATCCCAGGACCCTGGGATCACGACCTGAGCCGAAGGCAGAGGCTTAACCACGGAGCCACCCAGGCGCCCTGCATTGAGAACTTTTTATCGGCAGTCCTAAGTGGGCTCCTGAGAAGGGCGGGATCACAGACAGGTTAGTGCCCAGTGAAGATGACGTTGATGAATGAAGCCAGAACGGCGGAAGGACCCGACAGGTCAGGGGAGGGGGCTGTAGGGGGTGCTGGTTCTGGAGTTAGGAGTTCTGGCTCCTCCTGTGGGGTTCCAGAAGGGACGGCACGTGACGCTGATGGGGGATACCCTGTCCGTGTCCCGTGATTCCCGCTCGTTCCTGCCAAGGAGGACGTCCTTGGCCTCTTGCTGTAGTCCCAGCTGAGGTCGTGATGACTCGTGCTCAGTAGGGCAGCCTGGCCTGAGTCGGTGGCCTTGCCCCTCGGTCGCTGGTGCACTCGTGGTTTCTGTGGAATGTGCTTAGAGTTGGGGGAAAGGGCTTGGCTGCAGTACCAAAGACCATTTGTTTTGTTTTTTTTCCCCTTTTTCTTGTGATGCTATGTGTGACTTGAGTTGCCCATTTACAAACCCCAAATTATCAGTTTATAGCGCACAGATGTCCCGTCACTCCCAGAGAAGCATGGCGGTTTGGGCTGCGGGTACACAGCGCACTGTGTCTAATCCCAGAGAGGTGGGCTGTCTGGTTTCTTAGGTCAGTCTGAGGGTCGAGCGTTGTCCACGCTCACTTCAGGTGACACGCGCGACTAAGGGGAGCGGTCAGGAATGTGCCGGGTTGTAAGAGTCCTGTGTGATCCGGGCCTTGGGGCCACCCCAGCAGGGCCTGTCTTGGAAAGCTGTGGTCAGCTTGTTCCCAGGGCTGTCCTCCATGAGCATGGCCAGAGCCTCTGGTCCTGCAGCCCGTGGGTCCCCGTGTCCTCGCCACCCCCACTCAGCAGGCCATAGAAAAGTCCACACCTTCTTACCGGCCTTAGCCTTTGACTCCAGAAGCTAACGATGTTTGCTCCTGGAATGGTCTGGTTTAGGAGGGGGACGCGGGGAGCTGGATGCCCCAGGGCGTGAGGCCAAGAGGACGGTTGTGAATGCTGGGCTCTTGGAGCCACTGGAGGGGGGCTCGCACTCTGGTAATGAAAGCCTCCCGGTGATGTCGGAGCTGGGCAGCGTGGTCCAGCAGTGGGCCTGGACATGGGTCGAACGGAAGACACTCCACGTATTCCCGCTGATCCCACACCTTTCCTAAAGTGGCTCCTGTGACTCTGAGCAGGCCCACAGCCTCTGGAAGCAGGAGCGCACAGCACGGTCCTGGGACTTTGGAGCCTGGGGTGCGATCGCGTGGGGGTCTCGGGCACATCGGCGTCTGTGTGTGAGTGGTGGGGGCGCAGGACACTGGTGGCCCTGCTCTCTGTCCCACGGGTGCGCGTGACAGCATGGCTGGGGCTGCCGTCTGGCTGCTCTCCGCTGCTCCGTCATCTTCCCGGGGCTGAAACAGAGCCTCAGGACAGAGTGTTAGTTGTACAGAAGTGTTTTCGGGGGAGGAAAATTTGAGTTAGTCTTGAAGGGTTTTCGTTAGGTCTTTCAGAAGTGCTAGTTCATTCCGTCGACAGTCAGAATAATTGGAATGGGAGGTTAGTTTATTTTTCTGACGATCTGGTAGTTTTTCAGTAAGGCCGGTAGAGTCTGCTTCAGATGCCCAGCGTGAACAGGCTATTTTAGTAAAATAAATACACGCTTTCCGGAGGGTCAGAAGGGGAATTTCTCAAATATTTATGTGGGAAGGTGTTTCATCTTGTTTCTCATTTAAAAGACATGATTCATATCACTGCTGAGAAGCTGTAGTCCAGCCTGCGTTCTTGCCTCTGAGTCGGAAGTGAGTTGGGGCTGAGTCTTTCCCAGGGGAGCAGGCCTGAGCCAGTGGGTCAGCCAGCATGACCCTGGGAAGGATGGGCTCCTGAGTGTCCCTGGCGGTCCCGTCCTCTTGCCTCAGGGCTCACGGAGATGCAGCACGTCTCCCACAGGACTGCGATGGCAATGGTGGTGTCCTGGTCCCTCTCTCAATGGTCCCTGGCGTGCATGACAGTGGCCTTTCATCTCGTCGTTGGTCAGGGTCACTGAGGCCACTGTCCTTGTCCTAGCTCGACTTCCTGCTCTGGCATTTACAGGGCATCTGGTGACATTCGGGACAAGTCAGTCGTAAACAGGTCAGAAAATTTCTTGTAAAATGTTGAGATGTTGGATTGGAATAAAATTTCCAGGTAATTTTCCATGTTATCAGAGATTTTAAACCATTCTATTTGGGAGTGGTAAGGAGGTGGGAGATAAGGAGAGTTAATCTTTAATGTCCTTTTTGGAGGGGAACAGCATCTCCTGAAATAGTACTTACCGTAGGAGTTTGAACTGACACCTTTCATCCTTCAGAATATTCTGGTAACATTTCCAGAGTCGTGTGCTCGGCACAAAGGGACAGGCTCTTTTTGTGTGCAGACAGACGGCGGCATGGAGCGGGGCCCCCGCTGGATGTGGAACCCGGCTTTCTCTGTTGGCTTGGTGTGGGGCTGGCCCCCTCTCGTCCAGGGGCGGTTTCCCTGCTTCTGGTGGAGCGCCGTCGGCGGCGGAGGAGGGGCGCCCGGCTTGGCTCATGGAGGGCTGCCGCAGTCAGCACCCAGCGGAGACCAGTTGGGGGTACGGACCCATCTTACTGATGATTATTTTAGACATGAAGGAAATGGGGTTTAATGGTTATTTGTCAATTTTTTTCACTTATTTAGCATCATATTTTGCTCTTACATAGGTGAAATCACTTTGAAAAAACTCGCATTTACACCTTTGGCTACGGCAGCCACGAAGGTGGACTGTCCCGGTGTCGCTGTGCTGGTGTTTTTCTTTGTGTCTGGAGCGTGAGGCTCTCCGGTGGGGACTTGGAAGAGTGGCCTTTTTCCTTGTACGTTACCGTGTCAGCTCCAGGGGCCAGGTGCGGGGTTTGGACGAGGTGACGTGCTCTTGGCACAGGTACGTGGCTGTCAGGAGCCTCCGTGCTGAAGCGTGTTTGGTTCATGGGCAGCGGAGCCAGCAGGAGACGTCACAGCGTGGACAGCACGGCTTTGGTGGAGGGAGATCTGTCCCCGAGGGCGTCGGTGGGGCCGGGTATGGCCCATCCCGGCTGAGTCACGTCCTGGCTGCGGGCACCTCTTCTCAGTACTGGTTTGAGGAGACGTCGACTCCGACTCCCTGTCTGAACTCCTGTCCGCTGTGTCCGCTGCTTTAGAAACACCGCGTCACCGGGGAGCTCGCCAGCACAATCCCATCACTTCTTACTCCTGAGAGAGACTGCCGCGGTCTTCGGCAGTTGAGCCCTTGCGCTGGCCATAGGTCGTGTCTGTGGCGGTCGGGGAGGCAGGTGCCGTGGTGGCCTGCGCCCCTCCTGGCTCAGGGTGCTGCTGCCCTTCCCCGTGGGCTCGCAGGATCCTCCTTCAAATACTGAGGTCTAGAGAAGGTCCGTAGACCGCACTTTTGGTCTGACCGCGTATGTTCACAGTGAAACCAGCAGCGCGTGGGAAGGGAATGTGGGAAGGTTTCAGCGCTGTAGGTCCTGCTGCTCCTTGGGCTGCCGAGTAGCCCATCAGCGGCCGTGTGTGTCCGCTGTCACCCCCCGACACACATGTTCCCTGCCCCTCCGTTGTCAGCACAGATGGGGTCACTCCCCCTCCTTTCCTCTCCCCTGCTCGCTCTGTGGCCTGACTGTGGCAGGTAGGGAAGTCTTTCCACTCTGCGTGCTGTCATGAAGCCTGGGTTCCCCGAGGGCTTCGACTGGAGCATGAGACCCAGTGCCGGGCGCAGAGTTGCCCAGTAAGTATCTGTAGATGAAGCGGCAAATACCCTGGAAGTCGGAGCTTTTCTGACATTCCAGATACGACCTGGAGACAGCCCCCGCCAGGCCTCCTCCTGCGCAGATCGCTGGGCCGGGCTGGTTTCTGCGCATAGTCCGAACGTAGCAGGAGCTGGTTGGCGTTCAGAAGCACGCGTCTGCTGAGTGTGCGCCCAGGGCACCGTCTCTCCCAGAGCCCTGGTGTTCTCAGAAACGAGCCTGCCTCCCCGTGGCTCATTCACAGTTGCCATAATCAGGTTTGTGATTGGTTTTCTGTCCTCAGCTAAAGCCAGGCGCCTGGCCACAAACCCGCTAAGCAGTTCTTCCAGCCACCGGCTGGTCCCCGTGGGCGACGTGGTCACCTAGACGGGGTTGCCGAGCCTCGCCAGATGCTCTCGCAGAGCTCGGCCGGGAGAGGCTCCCTGCGAGGGGGTGGGGCGTGTGAGTCACGGATGGGCGGCCACGTGCTCCGCTCCAGCCTTTGGCAGAACGTGGCTGGCTGCTCCTGATGGGACCTCTTCCTGCCCCAGGCGATGGGAATGCCGGCATCACGACATTTTGGAATCACGCTCGTGAGAGATCTGAAGCTGGGCCAGCCTGGCCATGGTGTGACCTAGCAGCCCACTTGATAGAAAGCGGGTGTTCCTCTCACACCCCAGCCACCCAGGAGGAGACCTCCCCTTGCTTAGCGCTTCACGCAGGTGTGCTCTCCCACCTGCCCCCGCTGCGGAGTCCGGCTCAGAAGAGATTGCTGGGGAAGCCGCCAGTTTCCTAGTGGAACTGATGGGTCCCCGGGTTTGGGATCTTAACTGGAGCTTTCTTCTGCCAAAGGTTGAGGCTCCCTTGAGTTGGTATTACGCTTGACGAACCCAGAGCCCTTTTGCTTGCACACTGGGCCACTCTGACGGCTGGTGGCTGTGGTGATGGAATCCGTGGTCCTCCGTGGTCAGGCAAAGCCAGACCCCTTGCTGGGGGTCTTACTCAGGAGCCAGGGATGGCTGCGAGGCTGGTCTCCGCCTCACAGTGTCCCCTGCTTCTCCCACAGGGTGCTGACGAGGTGCCCGTGGGCCGGGGAGGCACCCCAGGTAGAGAGGTTTCTCCGGTCCCACTGCCCGCCCACTTCTCTCTCCGTGTCAGCTCCGTGTCTGTGTCATGATCATCTGTGTGGCCTTGTCGAAGGCAGAGGGGTCCCTCCCCGACCTGAACACGGAGCTCTGGGTGTGTGCGTTGGACTCCCTGGCCGCAGACTGGCCCGCACGCAGGGCGCGCTGCCTCCTGTTTGCTCGTATGTGAGTTAGCGGGGCAGGGCTCGGCCCGCGGAAGCCTTTCGGGAAGGCAGAAGAGGGTTTCCGTCTGGCCGGCCCTGTCTGTCTCTCTGCGATGGGTCGGTGGACACCAAGGTGGCCCTTGTGGGAATGATGCGTGGGTTTCCATTCATCACGTGTCCTCGGTGACCCCAAGGGTTGCCCCCTTGCTCCCGGGGAGCGCTTCTCCAGCGGCCTCCCCGGAGCATGTCTGTGCCGAGCCCGGGGCCCTCGGGTCCGGGAGCTGACGCGAACCCGCCTCTTCTCTCTCGCAGAGGACTACCCCAACGGCACGTGGCTGGGCGACGAGAACAACCCCGAGATGCGCGTGCGCTGCGCCATCATCCCCTCGGACATGCTGCACATCAGCACCAACTGTCGCACTGCTGAGAAGATGGCCCTGACGCTGCTGGACTACCTGTTCCACCGGGAGGTGCAGGCCGTGTCCAACCTGTCGGGCCAGGGCAAGCACGGCAAGAAGCAGCTCGACCCCCTCACCATCTACGGCATCCGCTGTAAGTGCGGTGCCCTCGTTCCCCCCTCGGGGCCTGCCCGTAGTGCGGGGTCAGGCGTCCTGCGAGGGAGCGTACCAGGCGAGTCAGGCCCGGGCCCTGGGGTCGGGGAGGGTGCCGGGCTTGCCCCTCGTCCCCGAGTCTGTGGGTGGAGCGTGTTCGGCAAATGTCGCGGCTGCCTGCCGTGGGAGAGACATGGGAGGTGCAGGCCTCTCAGACCCCGGCTTCCCTGGTCCCCAGGTGGCTCTGGGGCTTGGGGAGGAGCAGAGCCGGAGCCAGCCTCTGCCCCCTGCTGAGCGCGGCCTTTCCTGGGCTTCCCAGTGGCATGAGCAGGGTGCCGCCCACCTCCTGCCCTTCAGGTGGGGCTGTGTCATTACAGGCCCACCTCCCTGACTGTGGCCGGCAGATCTCATGACACTGGTCCTGATGTCCCCACAGTCTTTGTGGTTTTCCTCCTCTTCGAAGAGCACCCCACATTCAAATCAGTCGTCCCTTTGTCCTGTTGGTGACATCTCAGGGGTGCAGGAGGCCTGTGACCTCCTTAGCAGCACTCGCAAGCCTCTCACCCGCCCTGGGCTTGTCCGCTCCCTGGAGCCTGCTGGACCCCGGGAGTAAAATGAAACAGACTGTCCAGCCGTGCACCCTATGCATGTGTGCCAGCTGGGCTGAACCCCTGGCAGGGGACCCCCACAGGTGCTGCAGTCCCCCTAGGAGGCCTCTGGTCGTGAGCTGCTGTGGGATGGAAGTGCGCCCGTGTCTGCGCCCACAGTGACTGGTCCCCACCCCCACCCCCGTGGGTAGTGCTGGTTTTGATACCGAGCTCCGGGGAGGGAGGGTCTTGGGCAGGCTGAGCTCCAGGGGGACTGAAGAAGGACAGGCAGTGTCTTAGCAGGGCTGTGTTGGGAGACTAATGTGGCGTCCAGCCCGGGTCTGCTGCGTGAAGCAGGGGACACAGATAGAGCCCAGGGTTCTGGAAACAGGCGCATGGCTTGACTGAGCAAGAACTCCGGAGGTCAGCATTAGCACTGCGTGCTGTGGGGGAGCGCCCACCTTCTCTGTAGCAGAGGACGCCTTTACCATCATCGGCTTCTGAGTTCTAAGCAGAATGGTTGTGTTTGCGTTGGAGCCAAGTGCCGGCGCCCTGAGCGTGTGTTGGCAGGAGCCTGGGCCGCCTGCATGTTCTCGTGGAGGCCCAGGGAGGGCAGGAGGGTTCTGGGGTGGCAGGCTGTCCGGGGGCTGGCTTTCCAGACAGCTGCTTTGCGTAAGCACCGAACCTGGCCCCGTCTCTTTCCCACGCAAGGGAAGCCCTGTGGGTCCTCAGAGTGGAGGAGTTCCTGACCTAGAACGCACACATTGGCTTTCTCGTGTGCAGTTTGCAAAGAATGAAGACGTTTTGTTTTTTTTTTAAAGATTTTTATTTATTTATTTGTCAGAGAGAGAGCGAGCGAGCACAGGCAGACAGAGTGGCAGGCAGAGGCAGAGGGAGAAGCAGGCTCCCCACAGAACAAGGAGCCCGATGTGGGACTCGATCCCAGGACGCTGGGATCATGACCTGAGCCGAAGGCAGCTGCTTAACCAACTGAGCCACCCAGGCGTCCCAAGACGTATCTTTTAAAAAGGAAATCCCTGGAATTGAGGGAGTGTTGCCCCAGGAAGTGGGGCCTGCGCTCACGGAGCTTCCGTCCCTCCAGGAAGGTCCCCGTTGAGAGAGCAGGCCAGGTGTGGTAGCGGCCGGTGTCCTGGAAGGAGCCGTCTGACCGCTGCTCTGTTTGTGTGGCCCGGCAGGAGGAGTGCAGGCTGCGGGGCGGGGGCCCGCCGCGCTCGTGAGGGGGTGCCTGCAGGTCATGCTCCGCAGCTCTACCGGGGACCGGTTGCCCGTCTGCGACCACAGGGGCTGTCAGGATGCGGCCTTCAGAGGAGGTGGTGTCTGGCATCTTGGCTGGGAAGCAGGGAGCGGCCGTCCGTGGCCCCAGTGGGAGAGCCCCCATCTGGTGGCCCACACCTATGCCTGCGGCCTCTCTGAAGCCCCACGCAGCTCGGTCCTGGGGTGCAGAAGTGCAGGCAGGATCGGGTTTGAGCCACGACTTGGGACCCTGGGCCGGTCCCCCCCGCCCCCCTCCCAGCGCAGAGAGTGGCCTTGCAGGGCCGCTGGGTAACACCAGGGGCCTGTGCTGCCCGCACACAGTGGCCCCCGCAGATGTCGTCTCCCCTGCTCTGTCCCGGTCTTCCTGGGGAAAACATGAGCACTTTCGAGGCGTACAGTAGGCTGTTTCCAAGAACTGCCTTTCTCGTGCAGGAGCGAGGGTCTTCCGAGACAGGGCGAGAGCTGCTCCCCGAAGAGCACACGTGCTTCTCAGGGTGTGCGTGTCTCGGGGCTCCTGAGAACTCCTGGGCTCCCCCAGGTTCGGGTAACCCGACCTTACAGAGTGTGTCCGAAGCATCAGTAGCGCATTCCAGTGACCTCCCAGCTGGGGCCAGCATCTGAGTAATCGCCCCGAGAACGCCAGGGCCGGTGCGCTCCCCGTCGAGCCGAGCGCAGAGCCTTTGCTCTTGGGCTCGCGCTGGCGGGGCCGGCACCTCTGCGCAGGCCGAGTTGCTGCGAGCACACACCCAGGGGGCTGCTGGAAAGGCAAGGAAAGCGCATGGCGCTCGGACAGCCCTGTCTCGGAAGGCGTCTGGGAAGCCTGCAGACGTGGAGGAGAGATCCCCAGGAGGCCACTGAGCACTTGACCGGGACTCGGGTCCTGTTTTCACAGGGGACTGTGGTTGGCCCGTTCTGCCCTGGCACCCGCCCCGACAGGAGGTCGTGTTCCGTGAGGGCACCCAGAGGCTGGGCGGCTCATGCCTCTGTGAGTGTCCTGGTGCTGCTGTGGGTGCTGGGGTGCAGGAACGTCTCGGGGTGCCTGCATCCAGGCACAGCCCTCTGCGGTGCTAACTGCAGCAGCATTTGGCTCTCTGTCCGCCCCAGAGGCTGGAAGTCTGACATCACGGTGTTTGAAGGGCCGGGGCGAGTCTTGGCCCCCTCCAGCTTCTGCTGGTGCCTGGGGGTTTGTGCCCACACAGCTCCCATCCCCGCCGGTGTTGACACTCGCCCGTCTCCTCCCTGTGGGGATGTCTCTCCTCTCTCCTTATAAGGACACCCGTCATGGTGGATTTAGAGCCTAGTGTACTCCTCGTCTGACCCCATCTTAATTAATCCCATCTGCAGAGACCCTGCTTCCGAAGGAGGTCACAGTCTGAGGTCCTGGGAAGGACATGCATTTTGGGGGACACTTCCTAGTGCCTGGGGCCTGGGTTCTTTGGAATAGCCATAGTGTGTTACACACTTGCCCCAGGGGTACCCTGCAGGTGGGTTTGGGGACCCTGAGGGGCCACCATGAGCCTGGGGCTGGGAGGCAGGTGTGGTCAGCACGCGTGAAAGACAGTTGGAGCCCTTGCTTATGGGGCGCCTGGACGCAAGACCATGGGGGGGCCTCGGGCCCCTCCCATTGTGCTTCTCTGCTGTTGGGGAGCTTCTCACTGCTCGGGGAGCGGGGGCTCCCTCGGCTCTGAGCCCAGGACACCAGACACACACAGTATGTGGAGACACACCGGCTGCTCCCCTCACTCGGGCTAAAGATTTCTCTTGTTTTTCTGGGTCAGTCCTTATCGAGGCTCCTTTTGGGACATAAATTTCTGGCACTCCGTTTTCTGCTTTTCTTTGTCCTTGAACTTGAGATTACTTGAGCAGTGATAGTGTTTCTCATTCCTCTTTCTGATAAGCCCATGCCACCCACCACGGACGGGAGATGGCCAGCTCTGTTCCTTTTTCCCACAGTGAGTCTCAGCCCCTGTGGGGCTCTGTGTTACACAGCTGGGCGTCTGGACTTACAGTTCACAGCCCCAGGGTGAGGATGGGTGCTCCGGGAAGGGGGAAGGCGGTGAACGCCGATGGAGCTTTGGATCTTTGGGGGATAGCCAGACAGCTTGCCCGGGAAGCCGCGGGAGCAGGCTGGGGAGGCGGTGGTTTTGGGGGCAGCTGAGCATTCTCCTCCAAGGCGGTGAGGTGACAAGCGGCTTGCCTTGTGGATGACCCAGACCCCGCAGCTTCCTGGGGACCCCGTGTGCTGGGGCAGAGCCCTGGGAGCAGCCTTCTGGTTGCCGTGTCTCCTGCCCGGGTGCCGTGGTCGCGGCCTCGTGGAGGGAGGTCGGGAGAACAGACACACGGGGCCTCCTGTGTGCACCGGGCGGGCGGTGCTGTGCGGGGCAGAGGGGGCCGGAGCTGGGGTTTCTGTGGCCACTGCTGCTCTGCTTGGGTGGGTGCCTGGAGGCCTGGATTTCAGGATCGTGTCTCACTCCTGACTGATACTTGGACAGGAACTGAAGCTGGGGGCCTGGCATTCTTAGCTCATGAGGTTTTCTTGGAAGCATCAGATAACGCAAGAGAGAAGATGCTTCAACAGTGTGAAGAGGCAGTTAAAGTGAGTTTTCTGTCCCTCATTACCGAGGTTTCTCCTCCAGCGCTTGTGAAGTGGGGCTGCTCGGTGCCGACAGAAAAGACGAGGCCGAGAACGCAGCTGTCTCGGGGGCGCGCAGGGTCTCAGGCCCCCAGGCCGCCGCCCTGACAAGCTCAGGAAGGCCGAGCTGAAGCCCGGGTGGCGTGCACCGTGGGGGGCGCCTTCCTCCCGCTGGGCTGTCCCCGCGGGCGCGTGCAGTGGGGGGCGTGCTGCGGGCGCGTCGTGCGGGGGTGGCAGGCGGCGCTGCTGTTGGAAGGAATGGGTAACGTGAGGCCGTGGGAGGATTGAGAGACGGACGGCCTGTAACGCACGAGCGCGTGTTCTTTCTTCAAAGGGTGGAAGCCAGGTCTTGAACGGCTGGCTGGTTTTTACAGAGTTGAGTAAAACGGTAACCTTCCTGCTCGTTGCTCGTGTACCTGTGTGTGTTGCAGGTGGTCATTTCGGTTCCTGACGCGCTTTTTAAAGTTTCACAGCATGTCATTAACCCCTAGAGGCCTCGGGAAGGTTTCTCCCTGAGTGTGGGGGTCTGAGGGCAGGAAGACGGGCTAGAATGTTCTTCTTCATTGTGGCGCATGCCTGGGGGCCCTGCTGAGGCCCGTGATTGCCTTTTCTTCTCCCGTCTCGGAGAGCACCGCTGCCCTCGGCCCCTGTCTGACAGCCGGGAGCTGGGCTTCTGTCACCGGTGTTGGCGCCTCGCCGGGACTTTCTCAGTCCGCCCCTGCACTCGAGGCCACATGGGGCACGTGGCGGCCACGCGGTAAATGCTGATTACTGGTCTGTGGCTCTTTGAGAGGCGACCCGAACACCAGAAAGCAAAGAAGGGGCCACTCCACGTGTGTATTTCCTCTTGCGCACAAGGGTCATGAGAGCTGCTGGAGCGACTGGGTCACTTTTCTTTCCATAAATGTTGCTCATCCGGGTCCCTGTCGATGTAGGTCACGGGACTTTGGGTTGTTGTGTTTAGATCTGGTCTTAGCACATGCTCGTAAAGCCAAGGAGTGTCTTTCCAAGACAGAAGAAACTCGATACTTCGTAGGATATGGGAAAACCAGCTCTCCTTCTGGTGGTTCTCCGTGCGGCGGGCTCGAGGGAGGTTTTAGGGAGCGGGCGCCAGTTAAGCTCTCAGTGGACGGTGTAAACACGGCCCTCCCAGCAGTCAAATCGGTGTTGTTCAGCTCCACTTTTTTAGTCTTCAACTTTGGGATTCTGTCCATTTATTTTCCCGTTAACCAGTGAAGTTTCACGAACCGGGTCAAGAGGAGGTCACCATGTAGACGAGGGTGTCTTCCTGTTCCCGTGCTCGAGACTGTGACTTGGCCTAGAGAAGGGGTGAAGTGTCCAGGGAGGGTCTCTGTCTGCCGCCTGCTCCTTGGTGGTCTCCCTGATGCCCGGTTTCCTTGTTGATGATGGCGGGGGTCTCTGGTGCCGGGTGGCGTGTGCCGAGAGGGCTCTGTCGTGGAAGTGAACACACGTGGGCGCCAGTAAGATGCTCCATGGTGAGGAGTGGGCCCTCCGGCGGGCAGCAGAGCAGAGGAGATGCCCTCTGCCAGGGTGTGCAGGGCCCTCGGCCATGAAGAGTAATGTGCCCTTCGGGAGTTTTCCTCCGGACCGAGTCCTAGAGGCCAGTGTCAGACTCGGGCAGTGACAGAAGAATGTCTTTGGATGAACTGTGACCACAGTTAGTCTGCTGGCGCGGGAGCGTGTGCCGCGTGCCCAGGGTCTGGGCTCTTAGCATACCGAACAGTAAATACGTCAGTTCTCGGAGACGCTCGAGAGCCCGCTGGCGGTGCAAGTGGGAGGGACTCGGGGTCCCTCGGGCTGGTTAGGGGCAGGGTCACTGAGGTCGTGTATGAGCGGAGACTTGGGGGAGTGGGGGAGAGCTGCAGGCACAGGGGCCCAGGAGAAGGCGAGCTGGTGCTTGGGAGTGGGGCTCCGACGGGGTCGCGGACCCCAGTTCTGTCCTCGGCGTTGACGGGGTAACATCCCCGCGTGAAGCGGGAGCAGACAGAGTCGAGTGCGGGTTCTCGGAGGCTCCGGGTACCCAGCACCCGCTCGTCGCCGCGTGGACCAGTCACTGCCTATAGAGCAAGCGAGTGGAAGGCGTCGAGAGCCCCGTGGGGGCGTCTGCAGGGGCGTCTGCGGGGGCGCTGCTCCCGCGCCGGGTGCTCGCGGGCCCGCCCCTCCTGGTGCCGCAGTCCGGCTGTGTTTGCAGGTCACCTGTTCTACAAGTTCGGGATCACGGAGTCCGACTGGTACCGGATCAAGCAGAGCATCGACTCCAAGTGTCGGACGGCCTGGCGGCGGAAGCAGCGAGGCCAGAGCCTGGCCGTCAAGAGCTTCTCCCGGAGAACGCCATCCTCGTCCTCGTACAGCGCCTCAGGTAGGCTCTGTCTGGTCCCGGGGCCCCGGGGGGCGGGGTCGTGGTGTCCACGTGGCGCCCCATGACCAGAGGCCCCGTCTGTGTGCACCCTGCGGGCGGGTTCCTGTGGGCCACTGCCGGGGGCCCTCCTGGAAGTGCTCTGGACCAAGGCCTGCAGAGCAGGGCCTGGCCGTCGTCCTCATCCCGCTTGCGTTCAAAGCGGCAGGAGGAGCTCGGTCGGGATGGTGGCAGCTGCGGCGGTGAGCCGCTGTGGCATGTCCTGTAGCCGAGGTCCGGAGCAGAGCCCTGGGCTCCGTGTGGGGACAGCAGGTGAGGGGGAGGGGCCCACGCGGAACTGTGGTGCTCATTACTACTGCTCTCAGTGAGGGGCCTCAGTTCCACTTGTGCACACGAAAACGGACCTTCCAGACTCTTCTTTCAGGCATCGTGGGAGGACCGGCTTCCCCAGGACATCTCCCCGGGAACGGGTGCGGTTTCAGCACGGCTTTCACCCAGCCCGTCTCCAAGCAGCTTAACGGGAACATTGAAAACAAAGTCTCTCCAGAAGCTCCCTTGGCGACGGCTCTTAGAGCCTGAGGCCGTGGCTGGGGCCACGTCCCGGGTCCCCGGGGCAGCATGGGTGGGGCCGGCCAGAGCCTGTCCCGAAGCACGGTGGGGACCGGTCGCTGGACATTCTTGTAGGGTTTTGTCCTTCTGAGGCGACCTCAGGAAGCGGCTTTTCTCCCGTCGCTCTGGGAGTCACTTGCCAGCAGTTCCCGAAGATGGGAGGTGGCCACACACGTTGTGCCCCAAAGCCCTGCCTTTGTGAGCGGCTGCCCTGAAGAACCTCCTAGTGAGGAGTCCAGACCTTTCTGTTGCGCTGAGCCAGTCTGTCCTGGGGACTCGGAGGCAGCTGCTGGGGGACGCGCAGAAGCCGTCTCTCCTTGAGGAAGTCAACTGTCTCTGCGGGTCTGGAGAGTTCAGGGAGGTGGGCTTTGTCCTCCTCAACCTGGGGTCCAGGTGGCGGAGCACAGAGCTGGACATGTAGTTGGCCGTCCGTGCGTGTCCTGAATGCCCGAGGAGGAATGGCAGGACGGAGCTTTCTCTGTAGACGCGGTGTGCGCCTGTCTCTGGAGGTGCTGGCGAGGCACAGTGGCCCTGGGAATCCTGTTCCCTTCCCTTTCTCATTCAGTCCGCTCAAACCTGCAAGTCCGTGTTTCCAGCAAGTAGCAGTGGTGCCCGCAGGCCGGCCCACACCGGGGTGTGCGAGTGTCGCATCCCATCAGTGGTGGGGTTGTGGGGCCGGACAACCCTGACCCTGCTTCTCACCCCCATTGGAGACCCGGGTGGCTTTACATCGCACACAGGTTTGAGTTCTGTTGTGCAGTCGGTGATTTTATGACATTTTGTGCTTGTGTATTTGGAATTGTTCATTCTCTTCTGGTTATTAGTGTTTCTTTTAACTGACGGTGGTTCATTGATCAAGAGTTGAGTTTCTTTGGTTGTTTATTTACACGTATTTCGGTATTTCTTCTAAGGTGCTTTGGGTTTGAGTAACTCTCCGGTGCTGTTGGCCTCTTGGGGGTGGTGAGCAGCCACCGTGTGAGCGCATGTCCAGTGCCCGTATCCCCTGGGCAGGCTTGACACGTGGGGATGTGAGTCGGAGGTCCTAGGACATGTTGTTTGGAATAGACCATGTCCGCTGATGAACAACAGGACATGCAGTGCTTCTCGTGGCCCGCCCGTGTCCTCAGGAAGGAGTCACACCTGTGCCCAGGTGTCCTTGTCCCACAGGAGAACCTGGCCGCCTCCGCCAAGGCCTCCGTGCCCGGTGTCTGTGTAGAGAGGCCTGAGACGCTGCATCCAGTCTCTCATCCCTACTCTCCAGTCACAACAAGGGCTGCTTCCTGTGTGGTCTGCTCACGGCTGTAGGCTTCCTGCTGAGTGCTGGAATCGAGTTTGCAAGAGAAACACAAAACATGTATTTTTCTTTTGTCAAACTTTTTAAAAAAATACATGGCTTTTTTTGTTGTTTTTTTTTAAACGATTTATTTATTTATTTGAGAGAGCGAGCATGGAGAGCGGGGGTGAGGGGGACAGGGAGATGGAGAGAGAAACGTAAGCAGATCCCGTGCTGAGTGTAGAGCCTGATGCGGGGCTTGACCCCTTGACCCTGACATCGGGACCCTGAGATCGTGACCTAAGCCAAGAACAGAGTTGGCTGCTTAGCGAGCTGTGCCCCCCAGACACCCCTGAAAAGTCCATGGCTTTGTAAATTTCTGTTGGTGTCATTGTTTCTGATTTTGTTGTGCTGCACACCCGACTAAAATCACATAAAGTGAAGTAGCTGGTGGTCGGGGGCTCTGGTGGTCTGTCCTTGCCCTGTTTGCTCCCTCCCAACTTCCTAAGGCAAGTCTGAGACGGTGACAGAAATAATCCAGGAAAATTCCTGGATTCCTGGCTCACTCTGGAATTGCTAGTGATTCCAGCTGGGTCTGCCTTGTTTACTCTTGGATTATCAGCAGCTAAAAAAAAGAACTTCCAAATACGTGTTACAAAGGAAATTCTGAGCCCAAGCTCCTCTGTTTAAAGCTGATTTCGTGCTGTCCCTGTGAGCACAGACTAAAATTACTAGTGTCCATGGATGTTTACAAAATCAGTTTATTAAAACATTGGTAGTGCACTCTCCTGTCTGGCCGCAGTGTGTGAACTGTCGCACGTGCTCAAGGGAAAGACGGCTGCATTTCACTGTTGGTCGGTGCCATTCTGTGCCCGCCCTGCGGGCCTCATCAGGGAGTTGAAGGCCTCACGGGGTGTCTGTGCGGTGTCCAGTAGTTTAGGCTTGCAGAGAATTAGCCCATCCGTGTGTGCAGCTGCCTTTCCTTTGGATGTGGAGAAGAGCCAGGGTGGCAGGGAGGTGGGGGAGGCCCTCTGAGTGGCCCGCCTTCCTGGCGCTCGCTCTGACAGCGGGCACTGCGGTCTGAAACCTTCGCAGAGTCCGCGCTGTCAGCTCGATCACAGACAAGGATCCAGCACAGCTTCTTGCCTGGACTTTGATGTCAGTACAGATTTTCTGAGACGTGGGCTGAAACTGTTCTTTATGTAGAATGACTGTGGGGAGCTCTTGATTCTCTGGTAGACTCAGTAATTTGAATCTTAGGCTTGGAAACCATTGACCTCATACCCACATGGCCTGTCTTCTGCAGTGTCTTTACAGCCTCGGGGACTCATTCTTCCTTTATTGGAGCCAATAGAGAACTGGCAAGATCAGTGACTTTTTATTTTAACATTTTATTTATTTATTTGACAGAGACAGAGATCACAAGTAAGCAGAGAGGCAGGCAGAGAGAGAGGAGGAAGCAGGCTCCCCGCCGAGCAGAGAGCCCGAAGCGGGGCTCAATCCCAGGACCCTGAGATCATGACCTGAGCTGAAGGCAGAGGCTTTAACCCACTGAGCCACCCAGGCGCCCCTAGATCAGTGAATTTTTATTAACGCTAGAGCAGAATGATTTGGGAATCTATTCAGTTATGTAATTCTTATTAACTCGCCCAGTGAACTTTAAATGTTTTGGTCAAATACCCTCATTAAGAGGTTAGAAAATGTGTATTCTTCCTTGCATATTTTTAACTTGACGTTTTAAAATGTTGATAGCTAGTTTTCATTATACTTTGAAATCATTGAAAAGGTTGTCATTTCTGAGATAATGCAAGGGTTAACATTTCGCATGCAGACGCATTCAGTGGAATGTATGTTTTATGTCCATGTAATGCCCACCATTAAGTTGTTAAAAAACGAAAAGCTTTCGTTGGGTAAGCAGACATTTTACACCTTTTTTTCTCCTTCCATTCACTTCTCACTGAGTCTCACCCTGCTTTGATGAGTCTTTACATTTTTTACTATCCGTCTGCCATAATTCTCTGCAGAAAATTGTACACACAAAATCAGAATGTTTTTCGGAGGCTTTAATGTTCTAAGTGTTTAAGAAAGTTCTGTTAAGATAAGGTTGCAGGTTGCAGCTGAAATTAACACACAACACGTCGACACAATGTATTATTTTGGATTAAACAAAAGGAGTGAGGTTTTATTGGAAATGTATCTTTAAGGAAGTGGTTGGGGATTTACACCCCCCCCCAGTGAGTTTAATTGTCCGTGAACAAGTATTATTTACTGCTGGCGTAAAGCAGACTGTTACCAACTTTATTTCTTTTCATTTTTGTTGATGAATCTGGAGCCACTTCATTTAACAAACGGATGAGAATCTGTCTGTCTGTCCAAGCAGTCAGTCCTTCAGACCCCTTGTGTCTACAGGTCGGAAACCTCCATTCCCTGGCACTTAGAACTAACGGTCTCTAGACGATGCCACGGGTCCTCCCTTGGGACCTGTCGACTGGACTCCGGAGGAGCAATTCCCTTTCCTCTCTGTGGGGATGTGGGGCTGGGGAGGGAAGGAAGCCCAGAGGCTTGCATGGGGCTGGGGCCGCCCGTCTCCGGCTGGTGCCTGAGGCCTTCTGTACTTCTCCGCAGAGACCGTGATGAGCACCCCGCCCCCCGCCAGTGAGATGCCGCAGCCCCCGCCACAGGCCCTGCACTACGCCCTGGCCAACGCCCAGCAGGTCCAGATCCACCAGATCGGAGAGGACGGACAGGTCCAAGTAGTATGTACCCTCCTCGTTAGTCTGCCTCTGGAAGGGATGCGGGGAGGGGGCTGGGGCTGGGGCAGGGCCACGGTCAGTGGGGAGGGCCACGCCTCATGGCCCCTTCGTCTCCCTTGCACGTGCTACCCTGGAGGCTGCCGTCTGCTCCGAGGGTCTGGGTCTTCAACTGTCCCTATTTCGGCCTGTCCTCCTGTCCACTGTAGGTGCCCTGTTGATATTTTCTCAGTTCAGAAACACGGGCACCCTTCCACTGAGGGAAGAAAAAGTCCTCTCCTTCTGGCGTCCGGAGAGAAAGGGAGTGGCCTTCGGTCCTGCGTAGCCCTTCCTCTAGGTGGTGTGACGTGCGCTGAGCTCGTGGAGGCTGTGAGCACCGCAGTCTGCTTTGCATGGCCCGGCCCGGGGAAGAAAGTCCTCCCGATCCTCGCTGGGCCCTGTGGCCGAGGAGAGTAGGGAGTGTCTCTAGGGAGCTGCCCCTGTTCAGCGTGCTCCTGGGCTCCTGCGGACGTCCTCGTCCCACCCAGCTGTGCTCTCTGGCAAGTCGCAGGGGGCCCCAGTCTGACCTGGCACTTGGCGTGCTGCCTTGGAAAGCTGGGCTTCCGGAAAGCTGCTAACCAGTGCTTTTGAGGAGTTTTCTTCACCTTCCAGAGGAGGATGCTCAGTCCTCTGTGTGACTGACCGTCACCAAGGCCATTACTCCCGTCTTAGCGTCAGGGTCTTTGAGGGAGTTCCGGGGCGGATCGCTTAGATCCAGTTTGCACAGTCGGAGTAGAACCAGCGCAGCAGCAAGTTCGAAGCGGCGCTGAGTCCCGTTGGCATTTATGGCGGGCGGGGTCCTGCCTGCCCCCATAGCCCTAAGGGCGTATTAGCCGGGTTCTTGGTGTTGACCCACCTATTTAAGTAGTTTTGTGTTTCTTTGACTTAAACACCTTGCCTGACCCACGTTCAGTGTAGACGCCCTGTGCAGCCCCTCCCACCGACCCTGTACTGCAGTGTGGCCTTCTCACCCCAGACTGCGAGGAGACCACCTGCTGCTTCCGGGAGCTTTCTGGTCCCTCCAAGTTGACAGGATGGCAGAAAAACAAGTTCTTCTCATTTTCTGGGAAATTTCTGTTTCCCGTCTTCTCTTTTTTTTTTTTTTTTAAAGATTTTATTTATTTATTTGACAGACAGAGATCAGAAGTAGGCGGAGAGGCAGGCAGAGAGAGAGAGAGGAGGAAGCAGGCTCCCCGCTGAGCAGAGAGCCCGATGCGGGGCTCAATCCCAGGACCCTGGGATCATGACCCGAGCCGAAAGCAGAGGCTTTAACCCGTGAGCCACCCAGGCACCCCTGTTTCCCGTCTTCTCTTAATGCTCTTTCCTTATTAAATTTGCCTGTTCGGTACCATTTGAAGATGGAACAGATTGTTCCTGGGCCCCATTGCTTCTTGAAGAACTATTGCGGTGCTGTGTGTGTGTTACAGACCAGAACTTTGGTGGTTTCGGGAGGCTGTTTGATAATGCGCGCCCCCCCGTCCGCATGTTCTCTTACGCTGTTCAGGGTTTAGTGGTCTGGAATTGCCAGCAGCCAATCCGGAGCAAGAGCTTCAGAAAGCGTTGCTCGTTTCCTGTGGCTCTGGGTTTCTTCTGATGCTTCTTGGTGTCTTCTCTTGCTGTGGATCCCACAGGGCCATCTCCACATCGCGCAGGTGCCGCAGGGCGAGCAGGTGCAGATCACGCAGGACAGCGAGGTGAGTCGCAGCCCCCAGCGCTGCCCTGGGCCTGCTCTGTGTCCCTGTGCTCTTGCGCTCCAGTCGTGGTCCAGCAGGGGGGACGGCTGGGAGTCCCCAGCTGACACAGCGTCCCGTAGTGACCACCTGACTCCCGTTTCCTCAGGAGGTCACTGTGGTCGGGGGAGGGGCTGCGGGGAGAGGGACCCAGGACATGTTGTTAGGACGGAGATGCCTGTCAGCAGGCCGCGTCCAGAGGGAAGTGGCACAGAGGTGCTTGGGGCAGGGGTGGGGGGGTAAGGACCTGCTCCCGAGCGAGCGCTGGCCAGGTCCTGTGAGGGGGTACTCCGGCAGGAGGACAGCCAGCTTGTGGAGTGGCCACAGCGCTGGGTGGGGAAGGAGAGCCAACGGTGCGGTTGGAGGAGGTCGCAGGCACCGGGTTCCCTCGAGGGTGGGGAGAGCTCCCTGGTAGGGGCGCAGAGAGGTGCGAGGCCCAGCTAGTGGCCCCAGACGCCTGCCAGGATAGGGGATCCTTCACTACGCCCTGGAACTTACGGTAGCCTCCTGAAAGGAAATCATTATACATTTGTGTTCATACTGTTTCTCCCCAAAAAGTCATTAGAATATTCCTGAATTTCATGAATTTGCCCCTTTTTTCACATCTCATAAGCGCGTCCCTCCTGTCCATGTAATCCAGCATTTGTTTCCATTAGGAATTGAATGCACTGAATCAGAAGAACTCGCTGATGCCATTAATGATTTCTTTGTCCTAAGTTACAGCCGCGATTGGTCCCCACACGTAAATCACTTGTTCGTTGAACAAATATTTTGTCAAAGCGAAGCTACCTGTACAGACAGTTTTAGCAGAGCCTCTTAGAGCTGTAACAGTCATTTTTTCCTAAACAAATGAAAATGCATTTCCACTTGGTCAGACCCCAGTGGGCCTGTGATCTGGTCAGTTGTGTTGTGTCCTGTCTGCTTCCTGGTTGGGACACTGCACCCGGGTGCCTCAGGTGTCCCCGTCAGGGCCCTGGGTGACAAGTGCACGGGACCGTGCTGTGTAACAACTTCTTGTTCTCTTCGGTCTAAAGTTGTTTCAAAATTGAATTTGGGGGAAAACATGACAGTTCCATTTGGGGTCAGGACTGGGGGGTGGGTACAATGTTTTTTTTTTCAGCTTGTTTTTCTAAGAAAAAATAGTCTGTAAACTCAGTTTTTGTTTTGTTTTGGGTGTTTCATTGTTACAGGGGGTTGACTTTTTGTAGAACTGGTATGCATAGTTTTGCTGTTTATTCACAGATGGCACGGTTGCCCCTGCCTCTGTCTCATTGTGTCTGGAAGTTTTTCTTGTCCTTGATCTCTGCCTTTTTCACCCATTCTGCAGGGCAATCTCCAGATCCACCATGTGGGCCAGGATGGGCAGGTAAGTGCTCATGTGCACTCCCTTAATGCCAGCTTGCCGAGGGTGTCGCCAGATCTGGCATTGCTGCGGGGAGGGGTGGGGAGCTGGACGCTGGTGCGGCATCAGCCTTGGGGACAGGCCAGTGCTAGCCCTGCCAGCCACGGACGTCTTGGGGCACATGGACATGTGCACGGGTGGGGCTCTGGGCTACATATGTGGCTTCGTGGGGTGTGACGTAGCTTTTTGCTTTGTAGCGGAACATCTGTCGTCCCTTTAGCGTCGTCCATGAGCTAACACGTGGGCTGCCGGCGGCCGTGTTCGTGCAGTAGTTACATACTAGAGTACGGTGGGTTTTTCGTGGAGGTTACTGCAAAATGCCAGTCACCAGCCTTTTAAAAAATCTTTGACAAAACGCGTAACGGACAGTCGTTGAACACCCGGGACATGAACTGTGTTTACAAGGCGGGGTGCTCCGGCGGGGAGGTCCCACCATGCTAACATCCAGAGAGATTGCTGGGGACTTGGAGCATTGACATCTCCATGGCCTTTGGGAGTTTCCGTTACAGAGATGTTCGTGATGTTTGCAAATGATGGAAGAGTCTGGAGAGTCTTCCTGACACCGTGTGACCCGGAGCCATGCGAGCTCATTTGCTGTCATGACTATAACACTTCCTGTTCTCGAGACCAGCTGGGCTGCCTGCTTCGACGCGGCCGTGTGCGCCCCTGTTGCCGTGGGGGGGCTGGGGTTGGCCGTGCGCAGGCATGGAGCATGGGTGTCCCTGCACTCAGAGACAAGAGCATAACGGCACCCCGTGTGTTGCATTTGGAACCTCTGAATGCCCCGGGAGAAGCACAGCGGACCCGAAGTCACTTGTTTACATTGGAGTTTCTCTGTTTCCAGTTTCATCTTGAACACACCCATGAGGCGTTTTTTTTTATTGTTATTAATATACAGTGTATTAATTTGCCTCAGGGGTACAGGTCTGTGAATCGTCAGGCTTACACATTTCACAGCACTCACCATAGGCCATACCCTCCCCAATGTCCATAACCCAACCACTCTTTCCCTCCCCACTCCCGCCAGCAACCCCCAGTTTGCTTCGTGAGATTAAGAGTCTCTTACGGTTTGTTTGTCTCTCTCCTGATCCCATTGTTTCATTTTTTACGTCCCTTCCCCCCATGACCCCCCACTTTGCCTCTCAGCTTCCTCATATCAGAGAGATCATATGATAATTGTTTTTCTCTAATTGACTTATTTTGCTCAGCATAATACCCTCTAGTTCCATCCATGTCGTCGCAAATGGCAAGATTTCATTTCTTTTGATGGCTGCATAGTATTCCATTGTGTATATAAACCACATCCTCTTTATCCATTTGTCTGTTGATGGACATCTAGGTTCTCTCCATAGTTTGGCTATTGTGGACATTGCTGCCATAAACATTCGGGTGCACGTGCCCCTTCGGATCACTACGTTTGTATCTTTAGGGTAAATACCCAGTAGTGCGATTGCTGGGTCGCAGGGTAGCTCTACTGTCAACTTTTTGAGGAACCTCCATGCTGTTTTCCAGAGTGGCTGCACCAGCTCGCACTCCCACCAGCAGTTATAGGAGGGTCGCCCCTTCTCCACATCCTTGCTAGCATCTGTCATTTCCCGACTTGTTGATTTTAGCCATTCTGACTGGTGTGAGGTGGCATCTCATTGTGGTTTTGATTTGTAGTTCCCTGGTGCCTAATGACATGGAGACTTTTTCACATGTCTGTTGGCCATCTGGATGTCTTCTTTGCAGAAACGTCTGTTCATGTCCTCTGCCCATTTCTTGATTGGGTTATTTGTTCTTTGGGTGTTGAGTTTGATAAGTTCTTTATAGATTTTGGATACTAGCCCTTCATCTGATAGGTCGTTTGCAAATATCTTCTCCCATTCTGTCAGTTGTCTTTTGATTTTGTTAACTGTTTCCTTTGCTGTGCAAAAGCTTTTGATCTCGATGAAGTCCCAATAGTTCATTTTTGCCCTCGCTTCCCTTGCCTTTGGCGATGTTTCTAGGAAGAAGCTGCTGCAGCTGAGGTCAAAGAGGTTGCTGCCTGTGTTCTCCTCAAGGATTTTGATGGATTCCTGCCTCACATTGAGGTCTTTCATCCATTTTGAGTCTGTTTTTGTGTGTGGTGTGAGGAAATGGTCCAGTTTCATTCTTCTGCATGTGGTTGTCCAATTTTCCCAACACCATTTGTCAAAGAGACTGTTTTTTTCCATTGGACATTTTTTCTTGCTTTGTCGAAGATTAGTTAACCATAGAGTTGAGGGTCTATTTCTGGGCTCTCTATTCTGTTCCATTGATCTGTGTGTCTGTTTTTGTGCCAGTACCATGCTGTCTTGATGATGACAGCTTTGTAATAGAGCTTGAAGTTTGGATTTGTGATGCCACCAACTTTGGCTTTTTTTTCAACATTCCTCTGACTATTCAGGTCTTTTCTGGTTCCATGTAAATTTTAGGCTTATTTGTTCCATTTCTTTGAAAAAAATTGATGGTATATTGATAGGGATTGCATTAAATGTGTAGATTGCTTTAGGTAGCATAGACATTTTCACAATATTTGTTTTTCCAGTCCATGAGCATGGAACGTTTTTCCATTTCTTTGTGTCTTCCTCAATTTCTTTCATGAGTACTTTCATGAGTATAGATTTCTGAGTACAGATTCTTGGCCTCTTTGGTTAGGTTTATTCCTAGGTATCTTACGGTTTTTGGTGCAGTTGTAAATGGGATTGACTCCTTAATTTCTCTTTCTTCTTTCTTGTTGGTGTATAGAAATGCAACTGATTTCTGTGCATTGATTTTATATGCTGACACTTTACTGAATTCCTGTATGAGTTCTAGCAGTTCTGGAGTGGAGTCTTTTGGGTTTTCCACATAAAGTATCATATCATCTGCAAAGAGTGAGAGTTTGACGACTTCTTTGCTGATTCGGATGCCTTTAATTTCTTTTTGTTGTCTGATTGCTGAGAGGCTAGGACTTCTAGTACTATGTTGAATAGCAGTGGTGATAGTGGAAATAGTGGAAATCCCTGCCATGTTCCTGACCTTAGGGGAAAAGCTCTCAGTTTTTCCCCATTGAGAATGATTTTCACTGTGGGTTTTTCATAGATGGCTTTGGTGATACTGAGGTATGTACCCTCTATCCCTACACTTGAAAGAGTTTTGATCAAGAAAGGATGCTGTACTTTGTCAAATGCTTTTTTAGCATCTATCAAGAGTATCATATGGTTCTTATTCTTTCTTTAATTAATGTATTGTATCACATTGATTGATGTGTGGATGTTGAATCAACCTTGCAGCCCAGGAATAAATCGCTACTGGGTCATGGTGAATAATACTTTTAATGGACTGTTGGATCCTATTAGCTAGTATTTTGGTGAGATTTTCGCATCTGTGTTCATTAAGGATGTTGGTCTGTAATTCTCTTTTTTGATGTGGTCTTTGGGATCAAGGTAATGCTGGCCTCATAAAATGAATTTAGATGTTTTTCTTCCATTTCTGTTTTTTGGAACAGTTTCAGGAGAATGGGTATTAATTCTTCTTTAAATGTTTGGTCGAATTCCCCTGGGAAGCTGTCTGGCCCTGGGCTTTTGTTTGTTGGGAGATTTTTGGTGACTGCTCCAGTCTCCTTACCGGTTATGGGTCTGTTCAGGTTTTATATTTCTTCCTGGTTCAGTTTTGGTAGTTTATACTCTAGGAATGCATCCATTTCTTCCAGATTGTCAAATTTGCTGGTGTATAGTTGCTCATAATATGTTCTTATAATTGTTTGTATTTCTTTGGTATTGTTCTAATATTCTAATATGTTCTAATATTCTAATATTATTCTAATATTGTTTCTCTTCTTTCATTCATGATTTTATTAACTTGAGTCCTTTCTCTTTTCATTTTGGTAAGTCTGGCCAGGGGTTTATCAATCTTATTCATTCTTTCAAAGAACCAGCTCCTAGTTTCATTGATCTTTTCTCCTGTTTTTTGGGGTTTCTATTTCATTCATTTCTGCTCTGATCTTTATGATTTCTGTTCTCCTGCTGGGTTTAGGGTTTCTTTGCTGTTCTTTCTCCAGCTCCTTTTGGTGTAGGGCTAGGTTGTGAACTTGAGACCTTTCTTGTTTCTTGAGAAAGGCTTGTATTGCTCTAGACTTTCCTCCCAGGACCACCTTTGCTGCATCCCAAAGATTTTGAACAGTTGTGTTTTCATTTTCATTTGTTTCCATGAATTTTTTCAGTTCTTCTTTAATTTCCTCGTTGACCCATTCATTCTTTAGTAGGATGTTCTTTAGCCTCTATGTATTTGAGTTCTTTCCAACTTTCTTCTTGTGATTGAGTTCTAGTTTCAGAGCATTGTGGTCTGAAAATACGCAGGGAATGATCCTCATCTTTTAGTACTGGTTGAGACCTGCTTTGTGACCCAGGATGTGATCTGTTCTGGAGAATGTTCCATGTGCCCTAGAGAAGAGTGTGTATTCTGCTGCTTTGGGATGGAATGTTCTGAATATATCTGTGATGTCCATCTGGCCCAGTGTGTCATTTAAGGCCTTTATTTCCCTGTCGGTCTTTTGCTTAGATGATCTGTCCCTTTCAGTAAGGGGGGGGTATTAAAGTCCCCTACTATTATTATATTATTGTTGATGTGTTTCTTTGATTATGTCATTAATTGGTTTATATAATTGGCTGCTCCCATGTTAGGGGCATAGATATTTAAAATTGTTAGATCTTCTTGTTGGACAGACCCTTTAAATATGATATAGTGTCCTTCCTCATTTCTTATTATAGTCCGCGTCTTAAAATCTAGTGTATCTGATATAAGTGTTGCCACCCCAGCTTTCTTTTGATGTCTGTTAGCATGGTAAATGGTTTTCCACCCCCTCACTTTAACTCTGGAGGTATCTTTGGGTCTAAAATGAGTTTCTTGGGGACGGCGTATTGATGGGTCTTGTTTTTTGTTTTTTTTTTTTAATCCATTCTGATACCCTCTGTCTTTTGATTGGGGCATTTTGCCCACTTACAAGGGTAACTATTGAAAAATATGAATTTAGTGCCATTATATTGCCTGTAAGGTGACTACTGTTACTGTATATTGTCTCTGTTCCTTTCTGGTCTGTTACTTTTTTTTTTTTTTTTTTTTGGTCTGTTACTTTTAAGCTCTCTCTTTGCTTATAGGACCCTTTCAATATTTCCTGTAGGGCTGGTTTGGTGTTTGCAAATTCTTTTAATTTTTGTTTGTCCTGGAAGCTTTTTATCTCTCTATTTTCAAAGACAGCGTAGCTGATATAGTGTTCTTGGCTGCATATTTTCTCGTTTAGTTCTCTGAATATATCGTACCAGTCCTGTCAGGCCTGCCAGGTCTCTGTGGATCAGTCTGCTGCCAGTCTAATATTTCTGCTGTTGTAGGTTACAGACCTCTTGTCCCGAGCTGCTTTCAGGATTTCCTCTTTGTCGCTAAGACTTGTAAGTTTTACTATTAGATGATGGGGTGTGGACTTATTTTTATTGATTTTGAGGTGGGTTCTCTGTGCCCCCTGGATTTTGATGCTTGTTCCCTTTGCCATATTAGGTAAATTACCTACTATAGTTTGCTCCAATATGCTTTCTGCCTGTCTCTCTTGTTCTTGTTCTTCTTCTGGGATCCCAATTATTCTAATATTGTTTTGTCTTATGGTATTATGACTTATCTCTCGAATTCTCCCCTTGTGGTCCAGTAGTTGTCTCTCTTCTGCTCAGCTTCTTTATTCTCCATCATTTGGTCTTCTATATCACTAATTCTTCTGCTCATTTATCCTAGCAGTAAGAGCTTCTATTCTTGATTGTACCTCATTAATAGCTTTTTTAATTTCAGCTTGGTTAGATTTTAGTTCTTTTGTTTCTCCAGAAAGGGATTCTCTAGTACCTTCCATGCTTTTGGGGAAAGCACAGCTAGTACTTTGAGAATCATCATTCTGAACTCTAGTTCTGACATATTACCAATGTCCGTATTGATTAGGTCCCTAGCTGTAGGTACTGCCTCTTGTTCTTTTTTTTTATGGTGAGTTTTTCTGCCTTGTTATTTTATCCAGATGAGAACAGATGAATGAGAGAACAAAATATTAAAAAGGTAGCAACAACCCCAGAAAAATACACAGTAACCAAATCAGAAGAGACCCGAAACCAGGGGGAGAAGATTGGGAGAAAGAAAGAAAGAAAGAAAGAAAGAAGAAGAAGAAGAAGAAGAAGAAAAATCAGAAAAAAAAAAAAAAAAAATATATATATATATATATCTTAGACTGGTGAATAGAACAGAGCCACACACTTGATTTTGAGTGTTTTGGGGTATATTTTGATCTGTTAGAAGAAACTACCTCCCAAAATTTTAAAGAAAGAAAACTTATATATACACACAAAAATAAGGGTAAACACAATGAAGGGATGGAATATAGCTGTAATGATGAATATTTAAAAAGATTCTAAAAAAGGAAGTGATAAGTAGGTGGAAAAAAAAAGAACGAATGTGATCAGGCTGGAGACTAGAACAAAGCCATGTGCTCCATTTAGGGTATATTTTGATCTATTAGAAGAAATTGTATCCCAAAATTTTAAAGGAAAAAAAATCTATATAAAAATTAAGGTTAAATGCAATGGAGGGATAAAATACGACTAATGATGAAAATTAAAAAAGATTTTAAAAAATGTATTGATAAGATAAAATAGTTAAAAATGCTAAAATAGGAAAGAGGAAAAATTAAAATAGAAAAAAACCTTTTTTTTAATTGAACTTCGCAAGACTAAAGGATCACGGGGAAAAAGCTGGGAATTCTACGGGTCGCTTCTCCCTAACTCTGAAGTTCCACCATTCTCATTAATGGGTGAACTTGGCCATGGCTGGACGTTCTTGCTGGTCTTCTGGGGGAGGGCCTGTTGCCGTGATTCTCAAACGCCTTTGTCCGAGGCGGGATTGCGCCGCCCTCGCCAGGGCTCGGGCTGAGTCATCCGCTGGGTTCGCTCTCGGAGCTTTTGGTCCCCGAGCGCTTTCCGTCGAGCCCCGGAGGCGGGAATGAAGATGGCGGCCGCCCAGCCTCCGCCGGAGGAGCCGAGAGCCGGGCGCTCCTCAGTGCGCCTGCGGAGCAAAGCCGTGAGTCCCTCCCGTGTCCGGGGTCTCCGGCCGCGCTCCGAGCTCCCCGGCCTGTGACCGAGCGTCTCTGTCTCTGGCGCGGCCCCGTCTGGAGTCTCCAAACCCAGCAGATTCCTGCCTCCAGAGGAGGAAGGTGAGTCTCCCCAGATGTGCCACTTGTGGGGTCCCTGCTCGAAGAGCAGTGGCCCGACTGTGCCGTGGGTCATGGTTTAAGGTGACCCCGAGCCGAGAGCCCCGTCCTTGGCTCCGTCTCTGCCGCCGGCTTCCCCGCTCCGCTACCTGCCAGCTCTGCCGCACTCAGACACGCCCGGTCCTTCTGTGACCCCGCGGGACCCGAGACCACACTGCCCCTGTGTGGGCTTCACCCCCATTAGCCTCTGGAGTGACGTCCTCGGTGGAGCAGACTTCTAGAAGTTCGGATTTTCTGGAACTCTGCTGCTCCACCGCTTGCCGGGAGCCGGCCCCTCCCGCCGCGGTCTCTCTTCCCGTCGCTTGGGACTCACGTCTCCGCGCGTCCCGCCTTCCCGACCGTGGTCGGTTTTCTGTTCTAGAGCTGCCGCTCTTCTCCGTGATCTCCTGGTGGGTTTGTAGGTGTTCGGATCGTTTGATGACTCCAGCCGAACTCCTGGGCCCTGATGACATCTCGGTCTCCTGCTCCCCTCCGAGGGGGTTTCCATCAGAGCCTGAAGCTCCGAGAAGCCAAGGCAATGCCAAGTGCGGCAGCAGCCCCCAGTCGTGTCCCCCAACCTTGTCTGAAGAGCAGGTCGCTGGGCCAGGCAGGTGGAGGGTGGCTCTCGGCTGGCTGGCTTTCGCTGTGTGTTCCTCTGGGTGGGGAGAGAGCTCTCCCGTCCAGGATAGGAGAGGACAGGTCATCGCCCATCATCGATCTCTGGTTTTGACCACTTCGTGTTTGTATTTGTCCTCATTAGAGTATCATACATGATGTTGGATTCTTCTCGTTTTTGTCTCTATTCCTGAGCAGGCGGCCACTTGGGAGTTTTGAAAGGTAAAATAACGTGGATTTTATATGATGGCAGTACAGTGTGTGGCTGGAGACAGCGCATCCGGAGTCGGTCAGGAAGGCCGAGGTCCCAACCTCTGTGGCTGAGATGGCAGCCCGGCGTTTAGCCCCTGAGGGGCTCCGGGCATGTTGGAGGAGCCCCGCTCTGAGCATGGTACGACCCGAGCGTCCTGTGCATGCTTTGTGGGTGCTCTGTGCCTCGCTGTGGCTGCAGGCCTGGGCCTGTGCTGTGCCAGTGGCGGCCTTCCCCAGACGCTCGACCTCCAGCAACTGTGCCTCTCGCCGCTGCCCGAGAAGGGCAGTGGGCCGCCGTCCTGCCCGCCGTCTCTGCCGTGCCGGTGCTGCTTTACTCGTCGTCTGCTCACGTTCGCCCGTCTGAGCTCGTGCTGCTGTCCAGCTCTGCCCGGCGCTCACCGACCGTCCTGTCTGGGACGGCCGCTCAGAGACGGAGCTCGAGGACAGGCAGGACAACGCTGATGGCGGCCGGAGGATTTTTCCCAGCTGTCGCCTTCTGCTTTCCTAAGGGCAGCCTGGCTTTCTGACTTAAGCAAACTCTACGTGTTGCTCTAAAGCTGCCTTTTTCTGGCCGGTCTGTCCAGCTCATCCTTTCCCGTTTCCCTTTGTGGAAATTCCTCGTTGTTGTATCACTTGGCTGACTCTTGGTCCTGTTAAGTTACTCGGCTTGAGACAGCTTCAATTTTAATGTTAACCAAAAATTTGCAAAACAGAATGATGTTTTGCAAGACAGAATACGCCACCCCACGTGGTGTCACTGACGGGGCAAGTGAGAAGTGCGGCCGTGCCGGAAGCTGGGGCACCGTGAGGCCTTCCCCTGCCCTCACCCCCGCCCCTTCTCACCCCCGGCGCCCCAGCCTCCCTCCCCTGGCTTCGCATACCCGCAGGAGGACGGTGCCGGGCGCTGCGGCTCTTTCCCCGTCACTCACACGGGGCCCAATGGTCTTATAGCCGCTCCCCAGTTTCCACGCGGTGGGGCCGGTGCCGGTCCTGGTGTCGTTGTGGGTGTGTGGTTTCCTGAAGAGGACCGCACCAGGCTTGTTCTGGTTTTAGGGAGCAGAGGTGCTGAATGGGGAGGACGATATCCTCCTGAGTTGCAGAAGCCCGTGAGGAAAGTCTCGTACTGCTGGTCTTGTACAGTGTGCAGACTCAGCGACCGCTGGCTTCGTGTTCAGTCTCCCTGCAGCCTGCTGGTGTGGCAGCCCTCCACATCCTTCCAGAGCAGCTCAGAGTCACGCGGGGGCGGTGGCCACACGCAGCCCTGGGCCTCTTCTCCCACTTGCTTCCTGACCCTGGGAGCCACCGCGGCCCCTCCCACTTCTCTCGGGCTCCGGTCCCGTGCGTCATGGGTTGCTCACGGGGGTGACTTTCCATGTCAGCGCCTGGTGTCTGGGAAAGCTCCGTGCCTTCGTGCCAGGGTGGGAGGGGGTAAGAGCCGCGTGCATGGTCACTCTGGGCGGACTCTGTTTTCGGGAGAGAGAGAGCTGCTGTCTGCCAGTGCGTCCCTGCACGGATGCGGTTCCGCCTTGTGTCTCCGGAGCTCCCACGTGCTTCTCCTCCCTGGGTCGTGGCCCCTACCCGTGGCGGGTCTGGTGCAGGGGTACGTGAGCGTGGGCCCGGTGCGTTAGAGACAACAGCAGTGTCTCGTGCTCCGCAGATGTGGGAAGGAACGTTAAGGAGCGATAGCTGACGTGCACAGCGGGAGAGAGCTGGGGGTTTAGTTGGAAGCCTCCTTTCAAGGGAAAGTCACGGCGCCCGCTGGTGGCCCAGTTACACGTTTCCTGTTCTCTTCCCTCTGTTTCTGGCCACCTGTGTCTTCTCGCAGTGACCACTTCCTCGTCCTTCCTGATCTGTTTTTGGGGGAATCTAGACGGTCAGATTTACTGTGGCGAAGTTCGCGTGCAGTCATGGATTCTGGGCTCTGGGCTCTGGGCGAGGGCAGCTCCTGGGGGTGAGATGTGTGGGCTGTGGATCTTTGGTCCTGCTCCCGATGGTTCTCGTTCAGAGGCACGTAACTGGGCCCGTTCGTGCCGTGCTGATTTCTTTTGTCGGCGGCCAAGCATGGGTACCGGGGACATGGGTGATTTCTTCTACTGCCTCGTGCTGCTGTCTTCTCCGTCAGCCACGACTATTTCAGGATCAGTTGTTTACTGTCGCGTGAACGGAGAGCACAGAGGCTTGTAAAGAACGTGGGGACTTAAAAGGGTTTGGGTGTTATTGCCCACGTGGTGACTCAGGGAATTGTGGAATCTGGGCACATGGACTTTGTGTAGTAAATGAGATCAGGAACAGGGAAATCTGGGGTTCTCAGGAGGAGCCTGAAGCTAACCCTGGCTGATAGTGAGGCCCAGAACACGAGTTGAGTGTGTAGACGTGTATTAAAGGTGCTAGGCATGGGAAGTGATCGCTTGTGTAAGGGAGTTCAGCTTTCCGAGTTAGCGGTCGGTGTAATAGAATTTTCTTTTAGCGAGAGAGCTCATGGGTGCTAGCCGGTGGCGGGCTGGGTGGGAATAGAGAGAGAATCTCAAGCAGGCTCCATGCCCAGCCCTGAGCCCAACACGGGGCTCCATCTCCCAGCCCCGAGATCATGACCTGAGCTGAAATCAAGAGTCAGACGCTCACTGATGGGAACCACAGGTGTCCCAGTATAATAGCATTTTCAAATATGGTGTGGATTTTCAGAAGATTCTGAAAAAGTGAAAACAGAAGGTTTTCAAATGTTAAGAGCCATAGAGATTGCAATTGCAATGAGGTGGATGAAATGATTTTTGAGATGCATTTTAAATGAGAAACGAGGAGGTCATGGCAACTTTTACATGGAGTCATGTGGCACTTATGCGGGCCAGGGGCCTCCTCCGGGAGGGTAGCGGACTGGGGAGCCTCTGCAGGGACTGCCCCTCGCTGCAGTCGCTCTGCCTGCCAGTCGGGCATCGGCTGCGAGTCATCCTTGCTTCCCGAGCCCGTCCTTGCTCACTGTGGCTGCTGGGCCACCCTGCAGGTCTGGTTACGCTGCCGGTCGAATGATGGATTTGTGCTGTGGGACCGGACTGTGTCAGGGTCCACAGTGTGAAGACAGGTGTTTGTTTCGGACTCTAGCTCCCTCTCGTGCTCACGCACACACACGCGCAGCTGAAGCAGGTTCCCAAAAGGGTTTCTACTTAACCTCTCTGCATGCTAGTTGTTCTAATACTTTTTACTCTGTTCTCTTTTTCTTCTTCTTTTTAAAAATCTCTTTTGAGTACTGGTTGTGACACATTAAATCCATTTCATGGCTTGCGGTTTGAAAAGGTCTAGAACAGGTGACCACTGATGTCACTTTCTTTTCGTAGGAGCCTGTAGCTCTGTGATGTTGTCCTTAAGTAATGTTTAAAATTTATTATTTACTTTTTAAAAAAGATTTTATGTATTGGTTTGACAGAGACACAGCAAGAGAGGGAACACAAGTATGGGGAGAGGGAGAAGCAGGCTCCCTGCGGAGCAGGGAGCCTGATGTGGGGCTCGATCCCAGGACTCTGGGATCATGACCTGAGCCACCCAGGCACCCGTTAGAGCAGTAGTTAATTAGGATATATTCCCTTTCTCGTTAAAATTAACACTCTGAATGAGCCTTTTAAAGAAAGGTCTTCTGAGGGGCACCTGGGTGGCTCAGTGGGTTAAGCCTCTGCCTTCGGCTCAGGTCATGATCCCGGGTCCTGGGATCGAGCCCTGCATCGATCTTCCCGCTTCCCGCCTTCTCTCTCTGCCTGCCTCTCTGCCTGCTTGTGATCTCTGTCTGTCAAATAAACAAATAAAATCTTAAAAAAAAAAAAGAAAGAAAAGAAAGGTCCTTTGAGCCTAATCAGTGTAAAGCAACGTAGTTTAGAAATTTAGCTTATAAAAAAATGGCTTCATGTGTTTTGTTAAAGAAGAGCCAGGCATGCACGTGTTGGTCATCTCAGGGAGCTGCTAACACTTGGTGCTGGAAGGCCAGAGGCGTTGTGTGAGTTCTAGAGAATCCTGAGTGGGGCGCACGGTGCTTCCAAGGGCTGGCCACTCACGGGCCTGTGATGTCACACAGGAGCTGGGGTGCCCATGGCCGGGAAGACGCCCAGGCCCGGCTCTTACCAGTTTTGCCTTGTGGAGCGAACATGCCAGTCAAGGCAGCCTCTTCGTCATTCCCACGAGTCTTGCTTCTGTCGCTGCACCTGGAAAGCAGAATGTGGCGAGCATGGACGCTGGTCACTGAGGCCGAGGAGGGTAGTCCGACTGGGGCGGAACCCAGCGCTTGGCCAGCCTTGCCCCTTTATACACAGATGGGCTCGTAAAGTTGTGGAGACCTTTTAACCTCGGCAAGATGTTTTCAAAACCGTTTTAGATGAATAATACAGGATTAGAATTTGGCCCATTGTGTGCCTTAAGGTGCATTACTGAAGAGCGAGCCCGTTGGGGATGCTTGGGGAGTGACTCCCGAGTTCCAGTAGATGGACCTTGGGTTTCGCAGCGCGCGGTGCCTGTCCTTTCGCTGTGACTTTTCCTGGCACAGCCCCTACTTTCTTCCCTCTTCTGTCACCGAGCTGTTTGCGTCTCACCGTCCAGTAGCCTCTCCCTCCCGTGCTGTGTCGGCCCGACAGCTCTGTGCCTCGTGAGGCTGGCTGCTCTGTGGGGTGCAGGGACGACGCGCGGGCTCGGGACTCGGGACTGACGATGCTGTTCTGATGTCTGCCTTCGACAGCGGCGCCCTTCCTGTGAGCGGGCCTGCGACGCGGGCCGAGCGCTGCCCGCTCTCCTGGCTTTGAGGCGGTTGTCCCAAGGCGCTTGGTGGATGTGGACTTCTCACTCTTCTTCAGGAAGACGGGGTCTTTGCAACAAGAGGGTCTCTAAAACCTTTTCCACTTTGAAGATTTGAATGTGAGCCTCAAAGGGGGGCCTTCCCTACACAGTCCCCACGAAGTGCAACATGTCAGTCCGCAGCCTTGGTCACCAGGATCCTGGCCCCCTGGGGGAGCTCGCTGCGGTTCGCCAGCAGCGCTTTGTCAGGTGAGAAGGGGAGAATCGGACGCGCTCCTCTCAGAGGAGGGGTGGGGCTGCTCCGACCCGCGCTGCTCCTGCCGCTCACCTGAGGAACGGTCAGCCTGGCTCTGTGCGTCGTGGAGTCCGCTCAGGGGAGGCCTGGTGCGCCCACCCCTCTGTTCTTAGAACCCCGGTTAGGGCCCGGAGATAAGCACCCTCTGGCATGAGTCAGAGTCCGGCCCTTGCGAGACGCCGAGCACGTGCATGTGGCTCTCTGGGCCATTAACCCCAGTGGGGACAGTGGCGGTGCCTTCCTGCCTCTCCCAGACGCCCTGCTTCCCAGAGGAAACGCCCTCAGGTCAGTGTTCTGTCCACGGAGGAGTCGTGCTTTGTTCAGGCCCCGTGTCCCGATGATGGAGTGCTTGGTCATTGTTATGCTCTGACGTGGTGGGGGTCGGTCACGTTTGGTCTTTACGTGGCTGCAACTCGGGACCGTCAGGCCGGGATTTCAAAGCTACTATCTAGGTCTGACCCAGTCACAGTGTCCCCAGGTGCTAGCAGAAGCAAACACTGGACTCAAGGGGGTGACCCTTAGGACGGCGGGGACAGCTGACGGGCGGCAGCGTGGGCAAGCTCGGATGAATCACGGCTCCAGCCTCTCAGAAACCACGTGCAGCAGCACAGTTGCGTGTGCGTTTGTTACACCGGTTTTCAGTTTGGTGAATTTTGGATAAAAACCTTGCCAGGTTGTTGTAGGGAACATGTGGTCGCTCTGGGTTTAGACAGTGGGAGGGACAGTGCGTGCTTTGGTTCTGATTAATTTTATGAGATTGAAGGCTTGCCAGCTCACGATAATTTTTCAGATTTATCTAATCAGTTGGAAGAACAGCTGCATAATTAGCCTCAGTTTACGAGACGGTGAGGCCGTCGTAGAATTAAACGTGGAAGTACAGGCCTCCCCCCGAGTGGTTCGGCGTGAATCGTGGCGGGAGGAAGTGTCCAGAGAGGAAGGACGTTTGCTCTGAACGTCGTCTGTTGCATCGGCTTCCACAGAGCAAGAGGCGCCGTGGAAGTGTGAGGTGTCAGAGTCCGCATCCTCGTGACACGCAGGGAGACAGTGTGAACCTGCACAGTGTGCCCTGCTCTGCAGCGGGGGCCGCGGGGGTCTGCGGGGAGACGAGCCTGGCTTTGGCACGACCGTGGAAGCAAGACTGCTCTGAGTTTATGCGCTCAAGACACAGAGCTCCCAGCCACGAGCCTGCACATAAGGACCAGACGTCTCCTGTAACTCATTACGTTGCTAAAACAAAAAAGTGTTATTTGTTTCCTCTTCCCTTCTCTACAGATACTTGTCTTCTGGGGTTTAGACCGCATAAGCCCTGGGAACGGTGCTGCAGTAACTAGAGCTGCATCGCCACTCTGCCCGAGCGCACCACGGAGGAGAGAACGGGTCTGTGCGGCCCGCGGTCCCGTCAGGGCAGCCAGGACGCGGCCCTTGTCTGTGGCTTTGTGCGGTACTTAGGCAAGACCAGCGGGGAAGCGGCGGCTGCAGCCCGTCGTTTCGTGCCGCTGTGCTCGTGAGCCGTCCTCTCCCTGATGACCGCTGGGGGCATTCGAGTGGCTGGTGGAACCGGTCACGTGAGCGCGAGGCGTGGTTGGACAGGAAGGGTCCGTATCCCTCAAAAGTGCCCACCTGAATCAGCGCTGGCAGTCCGGGAGGGCTGGCTCTCGCTCTGCCTGGATTAGAACCAGTCACTAGTGAGTCGAGATTCAGTGTATGAAAGTTCAGATAAGCAGAAATCCACGAGTTTGGGTAACAGCGAGTGTGGATCTGTTGTGTTCTGAGCAACTTGACAGCAAGTTGCGTGTGCCAGAAACCTTAGAGTAGAGCTGTAGGCGCCGGGACGGGGGTGCTCGTCGAGCCGTGGTGCAGGGGTGGGGATGCTAATAGAGCTGTGGACGCGGGAACAGGGATGCCGCTCTAGCTGTGGGCGCGGGGACCTGGGCACAGGGACACTTGTCTGTGCAAGGAGTTGGACCATCACTCTTGCTTTAGTTCCCTCTTGCTGTGCCACATGCCGCCCCAAAACAGGGCTGACGACCACCATTGGTCATTATGCCTCACGATCTGGTTTTCCTGGGTGGAGCAGGTGGGAGTTCGGTTTGGAATGGTGTCACTGGGGTCATCTGGAGTCCGAGCAGGCTGCCCTGTCAGGCCGTAGCTGGGCTGGCCCGTGGCCCGGGACTCTGAGGCTGTCCTCCCAGGCCCTTCGGTCCTCCCCTGTGCAGGCTCTCCTCGTGGCCCTGGGCCTTACAGCACGGTGACCGGGCTCCAAGAGGGGACGTAACCAGCGTTTGAGAACCGAGGCTGTGGGCCTGCCAAGTCTTGTGGTGACCCGGCTGTCTTTGCCGGGAGGGCGCTGGGAGGGGTGAGGTCGAGGGTGCCTGCACGGAGGGTCCCGGCGTCTCGTGGCCTCCACTCTGCTCCCAGTGTGGCTTGGCTGTGAGCTCCTGCAGGGCAGGGCCCGGGCTGCGCCCAGGGAGGGGCTCTGCCCAGACACACGGCGTGCGTGCAGGGACCGGGGCTGCGGGGCACCTGGTCATTCTAGGGCGGGGCACAGGGCCCTGGAGAGCGCCTGAGTGTGTGTACGGAGACCTCGACTGTGTGACTCAGGCAACACGTGCAGGCCCCAGCGGGGACTCTCCCGGATGCCACGGCCGGCTGGGGGTGGGTTGTCAGCACCGGGGTCGTGCCCTCAGGCAGGCAGCCGCCCACCCACGTGGCCCAGATCCACCCTGGGAAACTCCGTGTGCGTCACGGTGTGCTTTGTCGGGCGGCCTCGCTGACGAAGCACGTCGGGTGCGTCTCTGTAG